TTTTCAGAAGAGAAACCGGGATGAGGAGTGGGACCCTGAGTACACGCCCAAGAGCAAGAAGTATTACCTGGTATGTGCTTGGGGATTACAGGAGGGGCCAGAGGGCCTTTGGCAACCTGAGAGCTGATGCTGAGGCCTTAGTTGGTTTGTCCAAAGCTGATTAAATATGTGTGCAGGCATATTGCACCAGGGGATGTGTATTGTGGGACAGTGTGGTGATGGCAAGATGAGAGGCTCTACAGGAGTAGTTCTGGCCTTGAAAGGTTTACCATCTAAGATGTTCCAGCATAAGCAAGAAAGGGGTTGCTCTTCCTTTTTGGTCTGTGAACTTGTTTTACTGCTCTCCCACCCATAACCTCAGCCTCTTGCCAACCTTTATTTCACCCAGGGTAAAGTCATAACCCTCCCCTGATGGCACAGTAACAGGGTGTCACTCCCCAGTGCAGGATTAACAGGAAGGACAGGTCAGGATCTCTTTGAGGACAGATCTGTCTCTAAAATGAAATGCCACTGGGGCTTCTCTCATCTCAACAGTTCTGTAGAGACACCTCTGGGTCTATCTCTGTGTCATAACCCTCCCCTGATGGCACAGTAACAGGGTGTCACTCCCCAGTGCAGGATTAACAGGAAGGACAGGTCAGGATCTCTTTGAGGACAGATCTGTCTCTAAAATGAAATGCCACTGGGGCTTCTCTCATCTCAACAGTTCTGTAGAGACACCTCTGGGTCTATCTCTGTCTCTTTGGTTGGGGCTCTTGTTGGCTGAAATACCTGGCCAGTGAGTAAGCTTTCTTAGCCTTAATATGTCAACAGCAGGCATAGGTCCAAGCAGATTTGACTCAATGTTGTAACCAAGGTGTACTTGGAGCTGAATCTCTGTCATCCATGAGAAGGGTTGGATTGGTCTGTGTTGTCAGCTGCATAGCTAGGAAACAGGTTGTGCAGATGACTGTGCGCAGTCAGCCTTCACTCTTCTAGGTTCCTGGGAGCTGCTCTGAGACTTGTAGAGAATCCTAGAACCTTTATCTAGGGCAGTGTTGGCTGGGCCCAGGATAGGTGCTGGAGTGAGACAGCTGTAGGGAAAGGATTAAAGCCCATACAAAGCCCTCTTCCTGCCCCACCTGCCACTCGAAGGAGCACTGCTGACCTGACTGGTTAGGCAGGTGAACAAGCAGCCCTGGTAAGAAGCAGCTGGCCCTTTAGCTGAGCCAACCCTCCAGGAGCCTGAAGCCCTACTTGAGTAGATAGATGGTTTAGACTCCTGGAGGCCTTGGAGTTGATGAGGTAATGATGACTTGCGGTTTTCAAAATCTCTTTCTCATTCATTGGCTCCCTCCTCTTTCCTGAGATCATCAGAGCAGGGGTTCAGATGTAGGTTCTGATTTTTTTACCCTGCCATAGAGCCTGCCTCCTTGTATAAAATTGAAGAGGGGAGATAGAAGATGGGAGGCTGGGTTCTGGTCTTACCTTTTCCACTAACTGGTCTGAGGCCATGAGCAGGTCATTTGCCCTTGGTCTCACTGCCTGTTCTTGCTGGGGATAGGGGAGTCGGGAAGAGCCAGTGCCCCAGCTATGCATTCTGAGTGTAACTTCTTCTTTTAGCTGCCTAACCGCCCAGATCAGACATATTTTCACATTCTGGTGTGATTGCCTTTCTCAAACCCATCCTCTGAGAGATGGTGTACTACATAAAATGGAGTTACTTAAAGTTCCTAAGCCTGTTTCCCTATATACATAGTGGAAGGGGATAATAGTAGAGTAGATGTGAGGATTAAATGAGATAATGCATGTCAGGGTTTTTCAGTGCTTGGTGAAAGTTTTGTCGTCATCATTATTATAAAAGCCCAAACTCTACTGCCTTAGAATCCTAAGGCATCCAACTGAATAGTTTATTGGATCTAAATCAGTAGCATTTTTAGAGTAGGGACAGGGAGGAGGACAGAAAAGGAGAAAAAAGGTGGGTTGGAGCATAGGTTCATTTAAGAAAGTCACATTTGGGTGGTCACAGAAGAAGGTAAGAAGGTTCTGGCTCCTCTTACTCTGGCATTAATGGCAGTTTTCTTTTCTCTCAGCACGATGACCGGGAAGGTGAAGGCAGTGAGAAGTGGGTGAGCCGGGGCCGGGGCCGAGGAGCATTTCCCCGGGGTCGGGGCCGGTTCATGTTCCGGAAATCCAGCACCAGCCCCAAGTGGGCCCACGACAAGTTCAGTGGGGAGGAAGGGGAGATAGAAGACGACGAGAGTGGGACAGAGAACAGAGAGGAGAAGGACAGTTTACAGCCCACAACCGAGTAGGGGCCACTCTGATGGAGCCTCTGCCTGGGGGAGAGAAGCGCTGGGAAGATGGCTGGTGAGAAGCTAAGCAGAGGAACCTCAAGATGATGCTGAAAATCCCACCCCTACTGCCCACCAGCCAGGCAGAATCCTACTACAGCCGAAAGCATCCCTGGCGCTGCATCCCACTGGACAGGTGGCTGGCCTCAGAGCCTGGGGCAGGCCCAGGTCTGGAACAGAACACACTCGATGGGCTTTAGCTGTTTCTCATTTGTTGTTGGTGTGTGGGGTGGGGTTGGGGTAGGGAGGGGAGAGCGATACTTGGATTTTGGTTTGTTCCCTATTAGAAACCAAGTTTTGTTTGTAATTTCATTTGGAGCTAAGAGGACTAATTTGATAATTTTCAGTCTCTTCTCCTTTATTCTGATTTTAAAAGCCCCCTCTCACCCTTTTTTTAAGGCATATGTAGTAACATTAGAAAGATTTAATTTGGGCAACTTTGATTCTTAAAGAGAAAAAGCATGTGAATAAACATTGAAGTGTTCACCTCAGTTTGGGACCAAACTGCTTGGATCTTTGTAAAAATTGGTTTTTGTATGTCGAGGAGGAGTTCAAGGCCTTTCTTACCACCTTGTGTTCCCCTTTTCTGCACAGCCATGTACACATGGCGTTGCCTCTAACCACACCCCATGTGTGCATGCGTCCCCCCTCCTACCCCCCCAAATATTTTCTGATTTCTGGGCTGGGCTTCCCATTCTCCACCAGCAGCTCCAGTATCCCAAACTTTCTAGTCCTGCTGATCTCTCAGCAACAGGGGTGGAAACTGGACAGCAGTTTCTGGTCTGTTTTCTAAGAAACTTCTGAATTCTATTATCTTTACAAATATAAGATGAAAAAATAATTTTTTCAATATTTTTTATTAATCTTTTTATAAAATGAAAAGAAACTCCTATGATCGATTAAGGAAGGTGGTTATGGCACCCCAAATATTTTCTGATTTCTGGGCTGGGCTTCCCATTCTCCACCAGCAGCTCCAGTATCCCAAACTTTCTAGTCCTGCTGATCTCTCAGCAACAGGGGTGGAAACTGGACAGCAGTTTCTGGTCTGTTTTCTAAGAAACTTCTGAATTCTATTATCTTTACAAATATAAGATGAAAAAATAATTTTTTCAATATTTTTTATTAATCTTTTTATAAAATGAAAAGAAACTCCTATGATCGATTAAGGAAGGTGGTTATGGCTGGGTGGTTTGTGGGGGTTTGTTTTGTTTTGTTTTTTTTCTTTTTTTTTTTTACCTTAAGCTTTAAGTTGAAGTATTCTCAGATGTTTGGGGGGAAAACATCCTCTTAAAATGGGTCCTATGCTTGCCTTCTGGGGAGGCGGTCCTGAGCAGGTGTATCATACGGCATTTATGCATATGTTATATTCGGACTGTACCCACCTCTCCGCCCCCCACCCCTCAACCTCTTGGGTTGTGCTACTTTCCCCTTACTTTGCTACATTTCTATAGTTAAGTTGGTTTTACTTGAATGATTCATGTTTAGGGGGAAAAAAATGAAAATGCCCTTAAAATTTGTTTCAACTCCTCCTGCAAATAAAAAAAATAAATGAAGAAGGCAGATGTAAATGAGCTCTGGTCATTGTCACCGTGTGTGTGTCTAAGTGTGTAAGACAAAATGTCTGTGGATACTGGGCCCTGGCTGGCTCAGCCCGTCTTCACCAGCCCCACTCGGTTGGTCTGGGAGGAGCCTCAGGCACCCCTATGCTGGCTAGTGACTCCTCACTGGTTTTGCTTGCTTGTACCTTGGATGTGCCCGGAGATCCAGATTTTTTCACTGTGGTGTGTGACGGGGTAAGGACTTTGGCTTCTAAGGTGGTAGGGCAGGGGGTCACGGGGTGTGGATAACAGGCTTAGCTTTTCTCTGTTCACCACTGAGCAGGAAGATTAAAAGCTCGACCACATGAGAGTGGCACAAAGTGGGCTCTAACCTTAGGCCTTTGCTTAGCTGTGAGGGGGAAGGAGCCTTGAAAGCTCCTTAAGTACTTTCTTCCTGTCTCCTCCCAAGGAGGATCCAGAGGTGTTTTCTGAGACCAAATTAGGCCCCAGTGGCCGGAAGCTGGGGCCTTCACACTCTTCCTCTTACACGGTGGGTTGGGAGTGGAGGGGTGGCAGGGAGGGACGGCCTCCCAAAGAAAGCAGAGTATACCAGCAGTAGCTCTGTGAACAGTAGCCGCAGCCTCCACCCAGGCACCGCCCTAAGGCAGTTATTGCCTGCTGGTGTAGGGGGTGGTTGGGGGTGTGTGGCATGTGCCTCTCCCCACCCTTTACCCTTCAGGTAAAAGCTTTCGTGCAGAAAAAGGAAGATACGTGGAAGGGTCTGCAAATGGCAGGAAGGGGGGGCTCTCAGGGCCAAGGCTGGAAGGAGAGGCGGCTAGACTGGATGGAGTTTAGGTGACTAGGCAGGGAAGAGCATGTGGGGAGGCCGTGACTCCACACAGGCCAGAGACCCTAGTCATCATTCCTGGATTGGGGGCTAAACCTGCTGAGCCGGGCCACCTAACGCGCACACACCCTCTCCCAGCACCTGGAGCCCGACCTATCGGCTAGTATCTCTGCTTCCTTTGATTCACAGTCTAAGCTGTCCCACCCTGCCTGGGCCAGTGCTCGGCTGTCAGAGAGACGGCACTATCCTACCTGCCTGGCTCTGGAGGGCGTCCCGGGAGCCATGGGTATGTGCAGAAGGTTGGGGTGCCTCCTTTGCAACCGTGTGGAAATGGCAGCAAAAGCCTACACCACCATTCCACGCTCCCGTGATCTACGTGGAGCCCGGGACTCGGGCCGCGGGCAATCTGCCCCGACTGGGCCCTTCTGAGCCGAGCCCGCCCGATTCTCCACCCGCAGCGGTGCTGGTCCTGGCCGGATACCGCGCATAGGAGGATGAGCCGAGTCTGGCACCCGGGGACGTGGTCCGGCAGGTGTGCGAGGGGCCCCCACGCGACAGGCTGCGAGGAGAGCTGAGGGGCCGTTGCAGCCTCTTCCCCGAGCGGTTGGTGCAGGTGAGGCCTGGTCGGAGGTCGGGTCGGGGTATGTGTCTCATCTCTCGTCTCCGGGAGCTGAGAGCCCCCTCTGGTGCCCTCATTTCCAGGAGATCCCGGAGACTCTTCTCAGAGCTGGGTAGACGTAGAGACCGCACTGTGCGCGCCGCCGAGGTGAACGCCGGGACCCGGTGGCCGGCTGGCGAAGCCCCGCAACTGGAGTCGCCCCCAGCTCGCTTTGGCGGGCGCGGCTGTGGGAGGAGCTTCGAGGCCGCCCTGCGGTCTGTGATTGGTTCTCGAGTACAATGCCCCGCCCTGGGGCGGGGTCTGGAGGAGCTGCGGGCGCGCTCTCCGCCAGCCTCTCCCCAGCTAAGCGAATTCGCGGATTCGCGGCTTCGGCGGCCTCACTCTCGTCCCACCCTAGGTCGACCCGCCAAATCTTGGGGCCCCCAAAGATGGTGCAAAGTGAACTTCAGCTACATCCCGGAGCAGGCAGACGAGCTGAGTCTGCAAGTTGGGGAGATTGTAGAAGTGATAAAGGTGAGGGATTATGGAATGGTTTGCGGGGAGATGATGGATGGAGCACGCTCTGGGTGAGGGGAGATGGGTGAACGGAGGGTATGGGCGACGGGAATGGCGAGGGGTGCAGAAATGAGAAAGGGAGGGAGCAAGGGAGGAGGGGGTTCATCGGGCAGAGCCAAGGGTGTCAGATGTTAAGAGAGGCCCTTGGGGCAGAACCAGATGCCCCTGCATCATCCCTCCTCCCCAGATTGAGGACGGCTGGTGGCTGGGAGCCTTTCCATCCAACTTTGTGGAGTTGCTGGACAGTGGGCCCCCAAGTGAGACCTGGACCGTGTGGACCCCCTGAACCCCTGTGACCTGAATCTGCAGCCTCCAATGACTCTCCCAGTGGCCTGAGCCTGAGATCCACACCTCCTGACCCTCTGACTCCTCCCGCCGTCTAAACTCTGAATTTAGTACCCACCCTAACCTCAGTGTACTCCACCAGGCCTTGGTAACCTAGACATGCCTTCAGTCAGCCCTGCTCCCCAGCGGCCTCCCGGTAAGCTGGGTGGAGCAAGCACAGAGATGGTGACCTTTCCTTCCTGGGTTCCAATCGGGAAGAAAAGTGGCTCAGCATGTTCCTCCCTCCCTTGGCTCCCACTAGCTGAGCAGCCTGACCTGTAACAGCCCTCCAGACTACCTGTGGACAGGTGAGCATCCAGCCAGAGGGTCTCTCGGAGCCCCCTCCCCCAAGACACTCGTACTTGAGGAGAGGGGACCGACCCAGCTAGACTGATGGAGGAGAGAGCTGCTGACTGATTTGGGGAGGGGAGTCAGCTTCAAGGGACTGATCTCCCCTCAGTCTCTCATCCCAAGACCTACAGGGTCCTGTTTGACTACCAGCCCCAGGCCCAGACGACCTGGCACTGTGGAGGGGGGATGAGATGGAAGTACTGAGGAAGGTATGAAAGGCACAGGGCAGAGGAGGGAGCAGGGAAGGGTGTGTTGAGAAGGGGACACCCTGGAAGGAAGGAGCCTGGGGATCTGGCTCACCTCACCACTAGGTATTTCTTTCCCAGATCACAGAGGATATGGGCTGGTGGGAAGGAGAGTCGCAAGGAAGAAGAGGAATTTTCCCAGATAACTTTTGTTCCTGCCACCTCCAGTGAGTACAAAGCCAGGCACTGTGGGGCGGTGGTGGGGGTGGAGTAGAGGTGGGTTATGGGCAGGACAGGCTACTCTGAACAAGTTGGGGGTCCTGGTGCTCACTGAACATGCTGGAGGGTCACCCTTAAATGAGGATGGCCCTAGACATGTGGGGGCTCTTCTTCAAATTCTGATACTTCTCTTCTGCACAGATCAAGAAAGCCCCAAGGCAAGTGGGATATCAGGAATCAGGTGGGTGCCAGGGAAGCCTGGGATTGGGGGGAGTGCTCTCTGGGAGACCCACCAGTCCAGTTCCCCCTAAATACCCACAGCTCCCCAACATTCCAGTAGACCCTCTTAGGAACTGCCTTCTCCTGGGTTAAGGGCCCAGTGGGAATATATGTGGGTCATTGTTTGGGAGCATGTTAATTTGTGTATGTTAATAGGTTCGTGTTTCTCTGTATCTTGAGAATGTGACTATCAGTGTGTTTAAATTTGTTTCATTTTGTGAGGAAATGTATGGATTGATATGTCTGTATGACTGTGTTCGCATGTCTTAAAAGTGTATAAGTGAAAAGCTCTGTATATATGTCTGTGGGATATGTGTCTTAATTTATCTTTTAATGTAATATTTCACACATGCAAAAAATGTACATATGTGTTTTAAAACTTAATATTGAACACTCTCAAATACCCATGCTCTTATGATCCAAACCTAAGAACCAGCAGAACACTGCCAGTAGTTTGTCCTTTCTGCTATGTCACCCATACCACACGGAACCACTCTCCTGAATTGTGTGTTTATAATTCCCTCGAATTTTTTATTGTACTCACATGTGTATATGCCTTAACAATGTGCACTTAAGTTTTGCTTGTTTGGGGGCTTCCTGGAAATTATATCATGTGTTTACAGTTTTCTGTGACTTGATATTTCCAATAACATGTTTCTAAGATTCATCCATGTTGTATGTATATGGAAGTACTTAATTTTTCTCTGCTATCTACTATTCCTCAGGGAATTTACCAATCTATGTATCTGGTCTCCTCCTGATGTTGGACATTTTTGTTGATTCTAGTTTTGACTACTACAGTGCTGCCATAGACATTCCTGTGCCTGTCTCTCAGTATACAGAGATGTTCCCCTAGGATATAATCCTGGGAGTGGCCCTGACTATAGAGAATGAATGTAAAACTTTTATGAGATACAGTCAAACTGCTTTCCAGAGTGATTGTACACTTTAACACTCTGCCCTCGGTGTATAAGAGATCCTGTTGCTCTGAATTCTCTTCAGCTCTTGGTGTTGGTCAGCTTTCATTATTTTTGTGAATCTAGTGGGTGCAAAATAGCATCTCATTGTGGACTTAATTGGCATTTCCCTAGTTTGTTGGGAGTTTCCTTTTATATTCCTTTTATAATCTTAAATATATATTCCTTTTATATTATACATATATATATATATACAATCATTTGTTGGAGTTCCTTTTATATTCTGACCCAATTCTTTATGGGTTATACGTGTTATAAATATTTCCTCCCAGTTTGTGATGTGTTGTCTTTTTTTAAATGATGTTCTTTGATGAAGGGGAGTTCTTAATTATAATACAGACATACCAGTCTTTAGGGGTTAGCCGGCTTTTCCTTGTTTAAGAAATCCTTCCTGCCCCAAGATCAAAAAGACAGTCATTTATATTTTCCTTAAAACTTCCAAAGTGTTGTTCATTTTTAAGTGCTTTTATCTATGTAGTATTGATTTTTAATAAATAACCCAATTATACCTTTTTCTATTTGAACAAGTAGTTGTTTCAGTATCATTTATTATTTTCTGCATGTGAGTTTTACACAGGTTTATTTACACAGAATTTATTTCTAGATGCCTCAAAATTTTTACTGTGACTTTTTAAAAAATTAGCTATCCTTCTGTATATTGCAGGAATAAAGAAATGCATTGAAATTTATATATTGATTTTATAGTTGGCTATGGTGCTAAACTCTATTTCTAATTGTTTATTTGGAATTCTTAGTTTTATATGAACACAGTCATGTCATCTGGAAGAAATGACAGTTTAGCTATTCTCTTTTCCACTCCTGTGCCTTTTAATTGCATTTTCTTGTTTTACTGTAGTGGCTATGATCTCAATACATTGAATAGAAGTAGAGATGATGAACATCATTACCATGGTCTTAATTTTAAATGGAATGCTTCTAACTTTTCCCCTTTAATAATGATGTCTGCGTAGATCTTTTGTTAGATATATTTTTGTCAAGCTAAGAAAGGTCCTTTCTATTTCTAGTTCACTTAGAATTGTTATCCAAGAGTGAGTGTCAAATTTTCTCAAATTGTTCATGTGAATCTTCTGAATGATTCTATGGATGTTATCCTTTAATCTGTCAATGTAATGAGTGACATTTGTAGAATTTTCTAATATTAAGCCATCCTTACATTCCTGGGATAAATTCAAATTGGTCATGGTTTATTATCTTTTCATATATTTACTGGAATACTTTCCCAGTTTTTCATAAGTTTTTTGCATTTATTTTAACTGTCCTTATCCAATTATGAATATTATGCTGGCCTAATGAATGAGTTAAAGAGTATAGATTTTGTTTTTAAATTTTCTGGTAGATCTTATTATATAAAATGGGAATCTTCTTTCCTCAAAAGTTCATGAACTGTGCCTGAAATTCATCTTGCCCTATTTTTTCCTATTATGGGAAGATTTTAAACTATTTTAAATTTCTTTAATAGTTATTAGTAAGTCTGGCTAAAATTCTTTTTCTTTTCCTTCTGTTTTTTTTTTTTGGCTTGAAACAATAGAATTTTAATTTCTTGCAGTTCTGGAGGCTAGAAATCTGAAACCAAGTTGTTGGCATGGTCATGTGAAGGTTCTCAGAGAAGAATCTTTCCTTACCTCTTAGCTTCTTATAGTTGCTGGCCATCCTTGGCTTTAGACACAACTTCATTCTCTGCCTGTGTCTTCACCTGGTCTTCTGCCCTGTGTGTCAGTGTCCAAATTTCCACCTTCTAATGAGGACACCAGTCATCGGATTTGGGCTCACTGTAATCCAGTTTGACCTCATTTTAACTTGATTACATCTGGAAGACCCCTTTACTCTCTCAGTTGGCTTCAGCTTGAAACTCCAAGGGGAAGAAATTAAGCTGTGCAAGCTTAGGAGACTTGCACAGATAGCATTCTGTCTCCTGATCTCTGGGTGCAATGGCTGGTCAAAAATCTGGCTAAATTTTTTGAATCAGTTTTAATAAGTTGTATTTTTTAAATTATCCACTTGATGAATGTTTTCTCATTATTTGTATAAAGTTATTCATAATTGTCTCTTATACTCTGTATCTGCAGATATCATCTTTTTTCAATTCTAGTAATGTTTGTTTCTTCCTCTCTTTTGTTCAGTCTCACCAGAGTTGTTAATATACTCAAATATTTTATATAAAGCTTTTCTATTGTACCTTTTGTTTTCAGGGTTCATCTGTTTTGTAGTATGCATTGTACGTCAATCCTTTTTCTTGCACAATAATATTGTATAAACATGTGGAGCATTTCATCCATTAGGTGATGGACATTTGGTTGTTTTTACTTTTTAGCTATGAGTATTTGTGTACAAGATTTTGTGTGGTTGTGTTTTCATTTCTCTTCGATATATACCTAGGAATAGAATTGCTGGGAGCTACGGTAACTGTTTCACTTTAGGAAGAACCATTTTTCAAAGTGGGCGCATCGTTTTATATTCCCACTAGCAGTATGAGGACTCTAATATCTCCACATCCACACCAGACCAGCAGTTGTTACTGCCTTTCTTATAATCACCTGATTAGGTATGAAGTGGCATCTCACTGTGGTTTAGCTTTGCGTTTCTCTGATGGCTTATGTGTTGTGCATCTTTTCATATGCTCATTGGCACTTGTAGATCTTCTTTTAGAGAAATGTCTGTCTGGATGCTTGCTCCTTTTTTAAATTGGGTTACTTTTTTTTTTTTTTTTGAGAGGGCATCTCTCATATTTATTGATCAAATGGTTGTTAACAACAATAAAATTCTGTATAGGGGACTCAATGCACAATCATTAATCAACCAAATTGGGTTACTTTTTACTGTTGAGTTGTAGTTCTTTCTGTATTTTTGATAGAAGTCCTTTTTTAAATAATTTGCAAATATTTTCTCCCAATCTGTACATTGCCTTTTCACTTGCTTGGTGGTATCCTTTGATACACAAAAGTGTTAAATTTTGATGAAGTCCCATGTGTCTTTTCTTTGGTTGCTGGTGCCTTTGGTGTTGTATCTGTGAGACCAGTGCCAAATCCAGCGTTATACCTCAAACGGAGTGAGCTTCCTTCCGCCATGGTGGTGAAGCTGCTGGTTCTCACAATGTGGCCCATCCTACAGAAGGCCTACAGGGGTCAAGTGGGCAGGGGCAGGGCAGGGGCCAGGCATGGGGGCAGCCCTAGGCAGAACACCTTCAAGCATAAACACTCATCAGATTATTTCGTGCTTTTGGTCGATTTCCAGCACACTGAAGTGGTGGTTTTGTCCAATTTTATAACTGCCTGATGAGGTGAGGGTGTGTCTGCTACCTCACTGAGCCATAGTCAGGCGCCACTTCTGTTACCCATTCCTTCTCACATAGCTTACAAATTTTTTATTCCTTTTCCAGTGTACTAATTCTCTCTCTAGCTTTTTGGCTATATTTAATCTGCTGTTTAACCTATATTGCACTTTACTTCAAGAATGCTCTTTTTTAATCTCTAGTAGTTTTTCGTTATTTATTTTATTTATTGCTTGTTTAGTCCTCATGTTCCCTTTGTTGCATGCATATCTTTATTTCTTCAAATATTTTGCACATAGCTGTGCCGTGTTCTCTACCTGCCAGTTCCAGTGTCTGCTGCATGTTGTGTCTGCTGACTCCTGCTCTTGGGCCTGCCTTCTCGTGTGTGTGTCCTCCGGTCTTTGAGTGTGAGCTCATGACTTAATCTCAGCCTGTGGGTGTCTGACACATCTTAGTAAGGGACCTCTTCCCTAGAGGACTGACTTCTACTTCTGCCAGTAGCCAGAGCGTACCAACCACCAGAGATGGCCTTAGCTCTTGGGGAGGAAGTGGTACAAGGTTCACGCTGCTGGACAGCTGCCATGCTTGGGGCCCGCAGGGAGCCCAGGGAGCAGAATCCGGGACACCTGCTCCTCTGGCAGGTGTCTGCAGGCCCCAGTTCCCCCATTATTATGGACCTTCCCTACTTCTTTGAAGTCCAACAGTGCCTCAGAATTGTACCCCAGGCAGGATGTAATTGCTGTCTAGTGGGAGGGCCCTACTGTGCACCTAATTGGCCACACTCCAAGCAGCAGAAGTCACAGTTAACATTACCCAGCTGTGACTGCCTATATGCTAAACACTCTTCTAAGCACCTCACATGAATTCAGTGACTTAACCCTCACAACAGCTCTGTAAGTTATATACTGTTGATACTTGTATCTTATGGATGAGGACCCTGGGGCATAGAGGGGTTAAGTTCCCTACCCAAGTTCTCACATGGCTGACAAGTAATGGTATGGGAATCCAAAGCCTGGTGTCGGGCTCCGGGACCTGCGCTCCGGCCCACCATGACACATTGTCAAGGCATTAGGGTATGTATCTGGGTGAGATACTGGGCATGGGACTAAATGCCAGCATGTGTACATAAGCCAGAGTGGCTGTTCATGTGTCCATGGATATGAATGTCACTGTGTGTGACTGTTCGCTCTGATGTCACATTCTCCGTGTGGCCTTCCCTGACCACCCCACTTAAGACTGTACACTCCCCTCCCTGTTCTTCCTCAGTGACACCTAATAACTTCCTAACACACTACATATTCTGCTTCTCTTGACCACGAGCTCACTGTGGCTGCTGTGGGAAGAAAGCACTGTAGGCGTGGTGAGTGTAGGCACAGCCTGGGTTGGAGGCTGTTGCAATAGTCCAGGTGAAGATGGTGGTGCCCTGATCTGGAGTCTTAGTGGTGACAAGGGGTTGGATTCAGGGTGCTTTGAAGGTCGGGCAGACAGGATTTACTGATGGTTCGGGTGTGCAGCAAGACGGAATAAAAGGGGTCCAGGATGACTCCTCATTTTGTCATCTGAGCCACTGGGCAAAAGGATGAGATGGAGAACATCGGGTGAGAGGCAAAGTGAGGGGGGGAGGGGGCTGGGAACAGCGGGTGAGAGGCAGAGTGATGGGGGGAGGGGGCTGGAAAGCAAGAGATTTGTTTTGGGTATGTTAAGCGTGTGATGCCAGCTAGCTCTCCAAGTGGAAATATTGAGAGAGTGGTTGGATATGAATCGGCAGTTCAGAGTAGAGGAAGGGTGCTAGAGATGGGAATTTGGAATTTGTTGGCTTATTGATGATAATTCGCCCATGAGACTGGTGAGCTCTCCTGGGGAGTAAATGACATAGAGAAGTTCAAGGGAGGGTGGATTGGAAGGGGGAAGGTTATTGCCATGGTCTAGGCAAGAGATGAGGTTTGAACCAGGGAAGCAGCTGTGGGCCTTAAGCAAGGGTCAGGTCTTAGAGAAGTATGGATAAAAAGCTGGCAGGATATGGAGCCATCTCCCCTACAAAGCCTTCCCTGATTTAACTGTCTGCTAAGTGTCCCTTGGGGGTGTTCTACAGTTCCCTATGCCGATGTGGCCTGAGGGTGGTAAGCTTACCTGGAGCCACCAGGAAGCAGAGTCAAATATTCATCTCCTGTGCCCTGGCCAGCAACTCTTAGATGGATGGATAAGTGAGTGAACGAATACCACACTCCCTTCTCCCCTTCCAGCTCCATTTAAGCAACCAAAAACGATGCCCAAAACAGCCCTCCCCGGAGTCAAGGAACTGGTGACAGCCACCACTGGGCCTGGCAAAACCAGGTGAGGAACAGGGTGGGGGTGGGGCTGGGGGAGGGTACAGAGGAAGCGCTGCTCCCTGCCCCCCACCCCCTGCCTCTGATGGGCTCCTGTTCTAGGCCATCTTGGACACCCAGTGGAGACAGCTGGAAGCATCTCTCCCAGACTGGTAAGTCTCATTGCCTCCCTTCAGTGGGGTGAGGACTGGGGGACAGGGATGGGGTGGTTGTGCTGAGGCACAGAGATGAGGACAGACTCCAGGTCAGAGGAGGCCTGAGCCCCTGATGCTCTGTCATAGGCCCCAGTGGGATCCCAGGCTGCCCTGGCAGAAGGTGATCCAAAACTCAGGCTTCTGGGCAGTGCCTCACAGCTGGTCAGGTGAGAGGCCCTGAGACACGGGCACATGGGAATCCTGGGCAGAGTCTGTATGGTGTGCAAGGGGGAAGGATCCTGGACCAAGGGGAGCCAGACTCAAACATCAAGGCACCTGCTGTCAGCTTAGACCTCACACCCATCACCACAGGAGAAAGAGCAGAGAAGCCTAGCGAAAGCCCCTCCTGCAACTAAAACCCTGACTCTGGACAAGACCCCGAGCCCAGAGAAGCCCCTGTCTCCAGATAAGGTGCCCAGCCCAGAAAAGACTCTCTCTTCAGATAAGGCCCCCACTCCAGAGGGAACCCTGAGTGCAGATAAGGTTCCTACCCCAGAGGAGACCCTGGAATTCAAGGCCCCAGCCCCAGAGACCTCCCTGAGTCTGGACATGCGCTTGTCTGTGGGTGAGGCCCCTGGCCCAGAAGTCCTACCTGAAGGTGAAGGCCCTGGTCCAAAGTTGGCTCCTCCTGTGGACAAGTCCCCGCCACTAGAAAAGATTTTGGCTCCGGAGCAGGTGTTCTCTGAAGAGGCCTTCACAGCACTCAGTTCCATCACTTCTATCCGGAGGAAACCCTACTGACTGTCCTGTCTCGTGTGGCCAATGAGGCTCAATCCCAAGAGGAGTCCACATGCCAGAGGAGCAACACCCCTTTGGTGAGGGGGAAGCTCCCACTACAGTCTTAAGTCCAAGCCAGGGTGCATGCCTGCTTTGGAGAAAGTGCATCCCCAGGAAGAGTCTACAACCCTCCCTGAGAAGGGGCCTGTGAAGTATGCACCCCCAGAACAAGAGGAGGTTCCCAAAGGGGAGGTGACCCCCGAAGAAGTAGCACCTGCTCAGAAGAATCCACATGTTATCAAGCCCATGCCAGAACCCCAAGAGACTACCATCCTCCAATCCCTGGTCCCACAAAATCCCACGGAGAGCAAAAGTGACAGGGACGACATCGTAAGGCTACAGGAAGAGGTGCAGTCTTTAAGGAGGCCGCTGGAGCTGATGGGGGTGCAGCTGGAGTAGGTAGGGACGGGCACGAGTGGGTTGTGCGGGAGGGGGATGGTGGCTCCAAGCCTGCCCGGCCTACCCTTCCCTTCCGCTCTTGTATCTGCAGAGGGAAGCTGGTCGACATCTGGGGGGAGCTGAGAAGGGAGAGGGAGAAGCGCCTGCTGCTGGAGGTGGGTGGGGTGCGGGTCCCAGATGGGAGGGGCTGGCGGCTGGCCGCCCCCTGACGCCCTCTCCCGACTAGGTTTACAGGACGCGGAGGACCCAGGAGGCCTGGGCCGGGGCTCGGTGCACGCGCAGACGCAGACTCCCTGAGCGTGAGCCCGGGAGGGACACGGAGGAAAGTCTGGCTCCGGTCACCCGCGTGCTTACACACGACTCTGGGAAACTCAAGAAAATAAACTGCAGTGTACGCGCGTACCGCGCCTGCCTGGTCCGTGCGGGGGCAGGGGGCGGGGCCGGCTGGCGCTCCGGGCCCTCTGCATTCCTGCAGCCTCTCCCGGGCACATCTGGCCAACATGTGGCTCCCATTACGGTTCCCAAGGCTTGCGCGCGGCTATTTTTATCCACCGGATGGCTGGGGGTGGGGAGTGGGGGTGTCTCCTTCGGACGCCAGCCCGGCGCTGGAGAAATGGCCGGCAGGAGGGGCCCAAGCAGGGTCGGGCTCTGCCCGCGGGCGCGGATTCCGGAATCCAGCTGTGCGCAGGGGGGCCGCGAGGGCCTGCTCTGGATCCCCGACCCCTCCTAGTTGGCCCCACTGTCCGCTCCGAAGTACTCACAGGAACGCACCTTGGCTCAGACACTGTCTACCCAACCCAGCTCAGGCACACGTAATCACGCTGGGGGCTAGTAGCGCCTTAGCGTTGTGGTCAGAGCCCTGAGGCCTGGGGTGAGGTGGGGGATGTGGGTGAATGCAATGATGCGTGGACCCAAGGCGTTTGTAAGGACCGGGGCAAGTGCGCCCAGGCGTTCCCTGTAAAGAATGCATTTGTGAGTAAGGAATGTGATGTGTGTGTGTGAAGACTGAGGTGGCGGACAGTGTTTTTGCTCTCTCAAGTGAATGGGAGCATGTGTGCTGAGGCTTCGGGTGGGTGGATGGTGGACAGCCTGGTAAAGGAATCGAGTCGGATCTTGTCCTGAGGCGCCCCGCAAGGCAGCAGCCTGCGGACGTCACGGGCAGAGGTAACAGAGGCAGACCGAGTCACTGAGAATGAAGATGTCATTGGTCACTTTACCTCTTAACGTTAACCCAGAGAGAGGGTGGGGCCCCTGTGTCCTGCCCTTCCCCCAGGGCCTCTGGCAGGACAGAGGAAGGATGCTTCCCAGAGGGGGGAATCCAGGCTCAATAGCACCGAGGGAGTCGTGGGGGAGGGGCCTCCATAGCACCGTGGGCAGGGGCAGTCCCAAGGTCCTGGGGCAGCCGTGAGCACACGTGCATGTCCAGTACCTAGAGCGCCTTGCAGCGGGAGCGGTGGCGGGTCAGTAATAGTGCATGCGGCCCAGGGTGCCTGTGGCCGTGGGGCTGGGCCCCAAAGTGCCGGTGCCCAGCAGGTCGGGCTGCCCTGTGCGCCAAATCTCCCGCAGGATCCGTTCCCGCTCCTCTAGGCGCTGTGCTCGCTCCAGCTCCTCTGCCGACGTGAAGACGTTGACGCTCAGGGGCCCGTCGGGCTCTGCGGACTGCTCGGGACCCGGCAGCGTGTCGTCGGGGCCCAGCCGCGTCACCGTGTCCTCGTCGTCGTCGTCGGGCTCCAGGGTGCTGCTGCGGGGGTCCCGGCGCGGGGCAGGGCCCCGGGGCCGCTGGCGGGGCGCGCAGGAGATGCTGATGACTAGTAGGCACAGGGTTAGCAGCAGGCCAAAGCAGACGCCCAGCACGAAGTAGAGGCCAAAGCTCTCGGGGTTAGCTGGGGGGTCAGAGGGCAAAAGTCATGGGAAGCCCTGGTGTGTGGGAGTCGTTACATCCCGAAAAGATCCCAGGTTTGAGTTTGGGGGCTAAGAGCGTTACCCATTACTTTAAGGACATTAGGTAGCTGCCCACGGGCAATGGGGCCCCGGGGAGGAGGGGAGGGAAGGGGTGGAATGGGACCTCAGAGGGGCAGGGGAGGTCCATGTCCCCGGGGCCGCCCTCACCGCGGATGTGTGCGAAGGCAGCCAGGCTGTTGCTGAGCAACTCCATGTCCCTTCGGGGGGCATCCATGCTGCTCTGGCGGGGGTGGGGCAGCTTCCCTGTCAACCTGCGAGGTCAGCAAGGTCAGATCCTAGGGCCCCTAGAGCTGACCCTGACCCCGCTTCCTCCTTGGGGCAGCCCCTCTCCCTGGAAGAACAGCCCCAGGGTCCACCCTGGAGAGACGGCTCCCTAAGTTCGTTACAGACCTGGGCCCTGTCTTGGGATCCTTTCCCTGGGCGCCGACCCCCTCCAACCTGGGAGTCAGAAGGCCCCGTCACCTTGTGGGTTCACCAGGAGAGGCCCGGTTTCGCCGTCCCGGGAGCTGGATGGAGGAGAGACGCGGGTGCCTCCCCCCACTCCCTAGGCAGGCTCCGGGGACGGGGAGCCGCGGCCGCCGTCCTCTCCCACCCCGCCTGCCCCGCGGGGACCTGGTGGCCCGGGCTCACTCACCGTCAGCGCCCACTTCCCCGCTGCCCGGCCACGCGCGTCTGGCGGCCGTATACACCCGGGGCCCGGCCGCTCCCACCCCGCCCGTCCCGGCCGCCCCGCCCGCCCGGCTCGGCTCCCAGGCCGCGGCAGCGCGGGCCCGATACGGGCCGACGGACCAGCCGGCGGAAAGTTTCTCCACGGAAAGAGGAGGGGCGGGGCGGGGCGCGGGGAGGCGGGGAGGAAAAGGGCCGGGAGAGGAAGGGGAGAGCGCGGGCGGCAGGGAGGAGGGAAGCAAGGTCTGCGGGGCCTCTGCACCCCCACAGGAAACCGCTGGGGAGGCCGGTTGCAGGGACCCGCCCCCAGGCTACTAATTACAATAATAGTAATGAGGATGAACTGCTGCCCAGGTGCCAGGCAGCGGACTAAACCCTTTATAGTGTTCTTTCATTTAATCCTAACAACCCTGTAACGTGGGTACCATTATCCCCACTTGGCAGATAATTAACTGTCACAGAGAGATTGAATAACTTTACCAAAGGGTCACGATTTGAACCCACTGCTGGCTGACCCTAGAGCCTGGGCTCTTAACCCTCCCCTATACCTCGTTCTTCCTCCCAGGAGGCCCCCTTTCCAAGGGAAGACTGCCCTACCCAGCCCTGATGTCAGCCTTCCCTCAGACCCTCAACCGCTGATCCAGAGAGGGGGCTTTCACCCCCTTCTCCCAGGGCCCAGTGGGCATGGGCTGGGGTGTGTCCAGCCAGTGGAGCTCCAGACACACAGGGTTAATGAATGTTGGACTCATGCTCTGAGCCAGGCCAGCCTTGCAGAACCCAGCCTAGGCCCTGTGCTGGCCCTGTGCTCTGTGCCAGAGCATGCCACAGAGATGTGTTTGGCTGCCTGCACAACCTGCCCATGCACATGCGTGCATTTCCACCTGGGCTCCGGCTGTGCATGCACTGCATTATCAGTGTGTGCCCCTGGGGCTTCCTCCTGCCCAGACTCCCTGCCCCTGCCCCTGCTTGGGCCCCCCCTCCTGTGCTGGGGCTGGGGTGAGGGGGAGTTCTTGGCAGGAGCTCTGGAGAGGAGAAGGGAAGGAGGGGGAGAGGAAATTGTAGACATAGCTGAAGGCGCAGCCTGAGGCCTGTGGGCCAGTGACCCCCATCTCCCCGCCCCCGTCCAGGCTGGAGACCCCAACTCAGTCCTGAGACTGGGTTCAAGGAGAGGGCAGATCTAGATGGAGAAAGGATTAGGGCTGACTCCCATGGGGATGGGGAAAGGGCCCCCAGGGGTCTTTGTGACTGTTTACACTGTGTTGTGTGCATGTGTGGAGGTATTTCTGTCCGTATCTCTGTATTTGTTTTCGTGTTGTATCTGCATGAGCATTTTTGTGGGGATGGGGGTGGGTATGTCTGTGTATAAGTTTGTACAACCACTAGTCAGCACACGCAGTGTCTGCCTGGCGCTTCCCAGTGATGGGGTTCAGCAGTAAGCAGAGCGGACATAAATCTTTGCCCTCACTGAGCTGACACAAAGCAGAGACAAACAATCCCAAGAAAGATCATCTGGGTGCTGCGGAGGGCTCCAGGGATGATGGAATGATAACGGGAAGGGAACCTGGGGTGGCATCTGAGTCCCAAAGAGGGGGCAGCCAGGTCAGGATCTGGGGAGCAGCCAGCAGGGAGGGCTGGGCCCCTGAGGTCGGAGCATCTGGGGCCAGCAGAGGAGGATCCTGGATGCCGTTGTCAGTGTGGTGAGAGGAGGGTCCCTGTGGCGGCTCAATTTGGGCCGCTGTGCAGTGGGCAGGCTGGCGGCCATCCAGGCAAGCAGTGGCTGAGGCTTGGCCCACGGGGCAGTGGAGGAGGTGAGGCAAGATCAGCAGGAGTGTCCTGAGGGAACGCCAGCAGGATGCCTGCGTCATGTGCGAATGTGTGGGAAGGAGAGACTCAGGCAGGACCTGGGCAGCCGCTTGATGTTGGGCCTGGACCCCCGAAGAGAGCTTACCTGGGGATTGTTTCATGTTGGATTTGCCCATTAGACATCGGCTGGGGGTGTTAGGCCCCTGGGCAGGTGGAGCCCCAAGGAGGCTGGGCTGGAAATTGTGCGAGAGCCCTCAACACCAGTGATGGATTTGACGCCCTGGGAGCGGGTGAGATCATCTAGGTGGCGGGGAGAGAAGAGAGGCGTCCAGAGCCCGAGCTCCAGCCTTGAGGGGTCTCGAGGAGTCAGCCTGGGGAGAGCAGTGAGGTGGCTAAAGACTGGGCCAGGCTAAGGACGAGGTCAGCCATGTTAAATTGGGCTGAGAGGTGGAGGTGAGGCCAGAAGCTGATCACTGGCTGAGACGGGTCGGTTTCCACAGGCTGCATTCACACGTCGAATGCTACCATTCATGTGCATCCTGGTGCTGTGGCTTTGCTAGTGTGACCGGCTATGTGTGTGAAGGACATCATGTCTCAGTTTGTGTGGCACACACCTTAGTCTCCATGAAGGTCTGTGGGGTGCCTCTCTGTAAGAATTTAGATGTGTTTGCACCAAGCTGTTACTGTGCGTGCAGAGCTCTGGCGATGGCCACCTGCAGACAAAGGTGTGCCTGTGTCTAGGCTGGCACCCCAGGAGAGGTGCTGGAAGCTTTTGGCCCATGTGGGCCCTTCCCACAGTCCTCTTGCCCTCCTGGTCACCTGTCTTCTGCTCTTTTGCCTGCCTGTCCCTGCCCACCAGCCTGTCTGTAGGTCGTCCCAGCCTCCTGCTTTCTAGTCATGCTGGCTGGGCTCTCTCTGTGTATCTGTCACCTGCCTGTCTTGCTTACAGCCCACCTAGCCCCCTGCTGACTTCCTTCCTGTCTGTTGGCCTGTGACTGACCTGCCTGCTCACCTACCTGCTTATTGGCCGCCTCTCTGCCCTCCTGTCAGTCTGTGAGACTAGAGATTTGTCACCTTGGGAGGCACAGAGGTAGATACTAAGATGAAACCAGGAAAGAAAGGTCTTGATGGGAGGTCAGGGGGCTGCCATATTCAGGCCCAATGCAAAGCCCAACCCCCGGCTCCAGTGGCCAAGCTGGGGCCTGGCTCTGGCTGCTCTGTTCCTGACACTGGGGCCTCACCTCACTGGTGGGGCAGGGACTGGCAAGGTCTTAGATGGAGGGAAGAAGGGGACTCAAGGCCTCAAGACATAAAACCTGCCCAGTCTTCTGAATGCCCCCGCAGGACCCAAGACAGCTGCTGGAAAGAAGGCACTGGGAAAGTTTGCAAAATGAATAGTGATCATTACAGATATTAAGTACCCCTCTGGCCCCTGGCACTCTGCTAAATGCCATGTATGCCTCAGCCCTTTAAATCTTCCCAGGAACCCCATGCAGTTTATGGCATGATTCCCACCTTACAGAGATAGAACTGAGGCTCAGAGAGGTTAAGTAATGCATGTACAATCACATGGGCATAAGTGGTGGGGCATGGACCTGAACTCCTCAGCCTGTGCTCCCAACCAGTCTTCCACTAGACCTAGTCTTGAGGTCATTGTTTTCCACCTCATCAGACCCACCTTTTTAAATATACTTTGTATTATTTCCTTTTATGCTCCTAAAATGAAATTATGGCCAACGGATCTACCTCTCCATGTAATGAAAAATATATATATTGTCCTATAATACAAAAGAAATAAAGGGTAATAATATTTATGAAGTGATCAATTGCTGGGAAGATGATGGTTACACGTGCAAACAGACATTTGTGGTGTCAGTGTCTGACATGGTGAGGAACTCTTGGTAAAGTTATGAACAAAACCAACTACCAGTTCCCTCTACTTTATACAGGAGTTGCATTCCCAGAAAATTCAGTGTATATTAGTTTAGTGTATATTAGTATGAAGTCCTTTGTGTTTATGTATAAAATGGGATTAGATTCTTGGCTCTGGTGATTACAAACAAGTTTTTCACTCATGTTTTGCAGGTAGAAGTAGAATCTGCTTCCTTGGGTTGTGTGGCCCCAGCCCTAAATGCCAGCAGCACCCCTCTCGTGACAACCAGCCCCACCCCAATTCCTCACCCCCATTTGGACACACAGGATTCTGCCCTCGTGGAGCTCGACATGTGAAGAGGTGAGACAGATAAAATCAATTATCCAGCATATGATATACTATCAGGCTGTGATAAGCACAAGTAAAGCAGGGTCAGGGGTTAGAGAAGACCAGATGGACATGGTGAGGGCCAGCCTCTCCAAGGAGGGGACACTTTGAGCAGAGGGAATTGAGGGAGCCATGCAAATATCTGGGGAGAAGAGCCTTTCAGAAAGAAAAGCCAATGCAAAGACCTTGAGGTGGTGAGGGCTTAGCTCATTTGGTAAGGAGGCCCCCGGAGGCCTGTGGGGCTGGAACAGTGAGGGTGGGGTGAGGAGCCCAGAAGTTAGAAGGGAGGCCAGGTGTGGAGCTCTGCGTGGTGTAGAGCTTTCTAGACCACAGGCAGGCCTCTGGTTATCCTGCATGGGACAGAAGCCATCAGAGGCGTGTAAGCAGGAGAGACAAAACTGGCCTTTGAAAAGGCTCCCTCTGGCTGCTCTGTGGCCCCTGGGTTGCTGCAGGGGCAGAGTGGGAGCAGGGAGACCAGGAAGCAAGAGAAGTGGGATCAGACAGAGTGGGTGCAGGGCTGGGAAGCGGTCAGATTCTGCCTGGCCCGCTGACAGAATTAGCAGCGGATTGGACATGGGGTAGGAGAGAGAGAGAGGAAGAGAGACAAGGAGTCAAGGCTAACTTGGCTTGGAAGCCTGAACAACTCAGCCAACCCAGAGCCCATTTCCTACTTCCTTTCCCACTTCAGATGGCTCCACAGCTCTGTCTGGCTTCGAGGACACTGGAGACCAGGCAGTGGTTACACTGATGGACACTTCTCCTTGTTTGATTTCTCCGGAGCATAGATAGCTGTTGATCACACCCACCTTTCTGGTATTTTTCCCTCCCTTTACTCCCAGGGCTCAAAATAAAAACTAGAGGAAGGAACCAAGACATTTAGATAATGAACCAACAGCTCTGGCGTGTGAGCTCATGCCAGGCCCGTTCTAGATGTTGAGGATACAAGAGTGAGCAAAACCGAGTCCCTGCCTGGATGCCCCTTACTGTCTTGGGTATTGCTGAGTGTAAGCCTGCCACGTGTGGGTACCTGGGCGATAACCTGTGCACAGAACAGAGGCTGATGGGGGTGGGGGCAGGAGGAAGGCTGAGAGGGAGACAAGCCCCAGGGATGGCAGCTGGGCAGGCTGGTGTGTGACAGTGGTGGGCTGGGAGTGAGGGGACCTTGTGTGTGCATCCAGGGCAGCTCGACAGATAAGGTATGGGCCAGATGAAATGGGCAGAATTTGTATAGACTCAGGAGTGGCCACTTCACTGCTGAGGTGAAGGTCCTTCAAGGGTCTGTGGAGTGAAGGAAGAGATGGTGTTGGGGGATGCCATTCTGAAGCATTTACAGAGAACCAGGGCCTTGGAGAGGTGCCAACCCCCACCCCCATCACTGTGTCTGCACTTGGCTGGGAAGAGGCTTTGCCTGCATGGATCTCTGCCCCTTTTGTGACCTGGGCCTGTGTGTGGTTCCTGAACACAAATGGGTCTGCCTGTGCGCTGTGGTGTGCTGGGGGAGGGCCCAGCCTACCTCTAGCTTCATTGCTTCAATGCTCAATTTACAAAGTCTAAATTTAGGCAAAGGAAGGAAAGAAGAAAGGAAGGAAGGAACCCCTTTAGCTTCCTATGGAGGAGGGGAAAGGGGAGGGTGGTGCAGGAAAAGGCCTGGCCTGGCTCTTCTCTTCCCTGCTATCCTGGATGGACATAGGGGTAGGCGGGCAGTCTCTGCCTGGCTCGGTTTCCCTGACCTCAGATGGGGGTTTGGCAGGGAGAGAGGATCAATATTCAGTCAGCTGCAGCCACTCTGGGACACCTCTTGTATGCACAGGCCGGGGGCTGAACCAAGCCAAGCAGGGAGTTTCCACATAGCCAGAAACAGGACTGACAGGTCTGGGAGGATGCTGGGTACTTCTGGTCCTCTTCCCTGTTCAGAAAACTGATGGTGGCCAGCCTGCCAGCAGTGGGTGAGAGGGCTATCCAGTGCACCTAGTGCTGGAGCCAAATGCTGCAGGAATCCTGCACTGCCTAGCTGGGATGGAGATATGAAGATGCGGGCGAGGAACGCAAGAACGGCAGATGATACAGGCCACAGTGGCTCCAGATCAGGAAGTTTATTGCTGACATGCAGGAAGAGTCCCCATGTAGTACAAAAATATGTCTTTATACAAACTTTTTGTGACTTTTTCCATTTTGTTTCTTTACAATAGGACTTCTCTCAGCGTGTGACACCCAGTGAGGGCAGACCCAACCTCCTCTCATTTGCTTTGCCAGAAATGTAGTCAGACACATGGGTTGACCTTGGAAGGGACCAGTCTGTCTGATAGGGCTTTGCAGACCCAGAGGATATTGCTTTGAAAAGGAGGAGAGAGACCACACCTGGCAAGCAGGCCTGGAGGGTCTGGGCAGGCTGCTGGACAAGGGGCATGGCTGACACCCTCACAGGTCAGTCACAGGGGCTGGGAGCCCTAGGCTGGACTGCGTTTCTACTCCTTTAGGAGACTTCTTTTTGAAATAAATATAGAAAAGAGGGCAGCCCTCACCCCCACAGCATGAGACCCTGGCTCTCAGCAGCTGGCCGGCTGATAGAGGCAGAGCTTGGTGCTCAGGGGGAGTAAGTGCTGGGTGGGCTCAGGCGGGCTCCCACAGACCCACCGAGGCAGAGGCACAAGGCGCCCAAGTGCTAGGAGTGGGTATAGGGAGGAAGGGGCATGGGCGGCCCTGCTACTGCTGGCAAGAGGTGGCCCCATTTTTTCCAGATGGGGAAACTGAGGCACAAGGAGGTTTGGGAACTTGCCCAAGTCACTCACAGTGAGTCAGCTTTTGGGGAGGGGGCTGCTTACACTCTGGGAATTGAGGCCTCCTGACTAGGGAGCAAGTTCAGGCAGGCAGGGCCTGCTGAAGGCCCAGGGCAGCCTGGAGGTGAACACTCCGTTTCTCCCAGGGGGCCTGGGAATGTAGGTTGTGCGGTGGTGGGGGTCTTTGCTTAGCACTGGGCAGGGCCAAGTCCAGGGAGGGGAGTGGGAGGGGAGGCCATTCTGGTGAGAACAGTGTTTCTGGCAAGACAGGCATCCACTTCAAAATCTTGGCTCAAAAAGGGCAGCAGGGCTGTTCTCAAGCTAGGAAGGGTCCCCCAGTCCCTACAGTTCTCCCCACGAGCCCCGCAGCCTCCATGAAGGACCCTGGCCAGGATCTGCTGGAAGAGACAGCAATCCATTGTGGGGCAAGGACAGGAGGGGAGATGCCCCCCGCTCTCTGAACAGAGTGGGATGTGGGGGCAAAGGGTGTATAAACAGGGCCCACCTGTGCACAGCTAGCCCAACACCCCCCTCCCCAGCCCAGCCACCAGACACCCCTTCACATCTATGTCAGTGTTCCCTGGGTACCACAGTGCGGGATGGAGAAGGAAACCATGGTCAATGCAAGTGTACAGCACCTCAGAGCAGTTACTGAGATGGAGACAGAGAACCAAGGATAGAAAGGCCTCCCCATCACCAGAAACAAGGAGGGACTGGGGGCTAGAGGAGGAGCAGGGCTGGCAAGATGGGGCTTCTGAGCCTGGGGCAAGGTGGGGGCCCATCTATGGGCTGTGGACTCCTGCTGGCCAGCCAGGCTGGGGGCAAGGAGTGGCCATGGGCTGAGAAATCTAGAGATGGGACAGAAGTTGGTTGCAGTACAAAAATAAATATATTTGAATTCTGCTTAAGATGAGGTGAAGGTTTTCCAAAGCTTGGACTGAGGGGCCTGGGGTCAGAAGGGGAGGGATGAAAACAGCCCCTGGGAGGGGCCTGGGAGAGCACTGGGAGTGGGTGTTCATCTGGGGAGCCAGCAGCGAGACGCACTTTTAGCTTATGTGGACTGTGGGAGCAGCTGCCCGGGCAGGCGGGCGGCTGGGTCAGGCCATGGAGCCTGGTGGGCAGGTGGGTGGGCTTCCTCCTCCTCCCTCTCACTCAGTCCAGAGACAGCATGGTTAAAGAGACAGAGGTAGATTAAAACGTCGTGATTAAAAGCAGATTAGTTATCTAGGCTTCTCAGATTAAAAAAACCAAACAATCAAGCAATCATTCCAAAAGGTAGCTTCGTGGTACCTCTGCTGACCCCCTGTGTGACCTGGGCTGTCCCTGCCCTGTCCCCGTGCAGCCTGGGAGAGTTCAGCACTCCAGGGCCCAGCCCTGACAGCCGGGAAGAGGCAGCGCGGTGCTGGTGCCCGGCTGGAGGCGCTATTTCCGCCGGTAGCGCTGTGCCAGGATGGCTGCGTCCAAGGGGTTCATGGGCTGGGCATCGTGGCCCAGCCGCCGCACTGGTGGCACACTGCCAAACTGCCGCTTGGGCACCCAGCTCCGGGCCTCGTGTCCGGAGCTCTTCTCCTCAGCCAGCAGCAGCTGCTGCCGCATGTAGTTCTCAAACTCATACTGGGAGCACTCCTCCGTCACCTTCGCCTGGGAGGCAGAGAGGGAGACACAGCATAAGACGGGAGATGCAAAGATAAGTGCAGGGAAGGGCCTGTCAGAGGTCTGGCTCCAGAGCCTCCCTCCGCAGGCACCACACCCTTGGGCCCGATCTAGCTGGTGGCTGAGTGTGGCCCCTGAAGCCCTCCAGCCAACCTAGACCTAGCCTTTCTGGTCACCCTGGGTGCTGCTCCAGCTAAAGCACAGACCTGTGATCTGGCCCAGATCTCCTGCTTCCTAACTCACTGACCTTAGGAGAGGTCACATTACCTCAGAAACCTGAGCCTCCTCACCTGTGAGGTGAGGTATAATCTCCTCTCATAGAGGTTGTCAAGAGCCCATCAAGAGCTCTGGGGGTGGGGAGGGTGGTGAGGACGGACGGTGGCGGGCAGTGTAGATCAAATGTTAAGAGAAGGGCCTGCTGGTGGGGCGCTTGGCACGTGGGCAACCCTATTTGTTTCTCTTGCCTGAGCTGCACTCCATTGAGCTGCCATGCAGACAGAACAAAGAAATGGTAGGTGCCTGCACTATTCATCAGAGTGGGAAAGCAGGGCTTTGCAATCAGATGTGGGCTCAAGCCTCAGCTCTACTACTTCCAAGCTGTTGGACTTTGGGAAAATCGTTTGATCTCTCTGAACCTCAGTTTCTGCTTCTCTGAAACAAGGTTAAGAACACAAGCCACTGTGTGTAGTGAGAACTGACAAGATGTACTAGGAGTGGGCACTCAGTGCCTACTAGTGAGGATGACTTTTAGCGGCTGAACAGCCCTGGGAGTGGTGGGAGCTGGTGGGTAGGGCCTGGAGGTTCTGCTGTGGCCTAAGGCTGGTTCCTTCTGGTCCTGCCTGCCCAGTACTTGCTGTGGAACTAGAGGGTGGGCTAGAGAGGGAAGGTCCTTTAGGCATCACTCCCAAGGCTTGGCCAAGCCCTGCCCTCCAGGGAGCAGAGACCTGGGCACCAGAAAGCAGCTGGCAGGTGATCCTAGGGTGCCCCCTGGAGGGCAGGGCTTGCACTCCTGGGGCTGCACCCCAGGCCCAGCACTTTCTCCAGTGCAGGAACAGTAGAGGAGAGAAAACTGGGAGAAAATGAATCATCTGAAAAATGAAAAGCAGGAAGGGCAAGAGAACCTTGTGAGTCAGAGGGACAGAGAAATATGACAAATGCACGTGGCAGAGCCAGGGTCTGGGCAGGAAGAGGAAGCTGAGAGAGGGCCAAGCTGGCTGCTGTGAGGCCTCCCCACCATGGGGCCTCCACCTCAGCTGCCCCACAGCTCTCTGGCAGGCCCCACACTGTTCAGGCCAAAGACTGAAGTCTCCCTTTCCCACCCCAGGGGCTGGAGGCGAGGCCACGGGGGACTTGCAGCATACTGGGGGTGCTACCTCTGCCCCTCCCCACCTGCCTCCCTGGAGCTGGTCCCTCAGGACTTGGTAATGCCCTGCCTACCCTCCCCAACTCACCTCCTGGGAGCTGTCTGCACTGCTCAGCTGGTCGTCGATGTCAGGAACCACTTGCAAAGGCCCGCTCAGAGACGACAGGGACTGCCTGCAGAGGGGCAGACAAGTCAGGCCGGCTCCAGGCAGCCCCTGGCCCCTGCTATGCCAGCCTGGCTGGCAGGAGCCCAGAAAAGCCAGGTCTCTCCTGCTCTAAAACTTGGCTAGAGTCAAGAGACCTGGGTCAGGTCCCAGCCTAGCCCCTTCCTGACACGACTGACTGTGCTTCTCTGAGCCCCAGTGTTCTCATCCAATAACAGAGGACAGTTTCCACCTTGTGGGCTGTGGTGAGAACTTGGTGAGATAATGGCAACCCCACAGTCAGCATCGGCTGGCATGCAGGAGATGCTCAACTCTGCACCTTCCCATTTGTGCCCACGGGGCAGGGAAAATCTGGAAATCTGACTGCCTGGAAGAGAAACAAGCCCAACTGCAGGCCGCTTCTCTGGGCAGGATGGGCAGTGCCTACAGATGGGCAGAACCTAGCTTGGAGCCTGGCCCAGTGCCAGCCCACTCACCACGAGGCAATGATGGCGCTGAGGGCCTCCAGGACGTCAGCAGCAGCCAGGCGCTGCTGGGGGTCGAGGACCAGCAGTTTCCGGATGAGACACACGGTGTTCTCCGAAACCCGGCCATCCCTGATGCAGGAGAGGGAGAGGGCGGAGAGGGCTCAGGAGGGTCAGGCGGGTGCTGCGTCTGGGCCCCAGGACTCCCGGCCTCACTGTGTTGTTCCCCACATCAAGCCTGAAGGGCCAGGCCTCCCCGCCCTCCCCAGGGAAGCAGTACTCACTCAGGGATGGTGTACTCGGCAGCCTTGATCTTGCGGAAGAGCTCCTGCGGGATGCTGTCGTAGAAGGGGAACTGGCCATACAGCATGGTGAAGAGCACCACGCCCAGGGCCCACATGTCGCTCGGCTTGCCGCGGTACGGCCGGCCTGTGGGGCACATGGGCACACACACACTCAGCCCAGGGCTGGGGAAGAGAATGGCTTACCAGCGACATGCCTGAAATCCTACTAATGGGACCTCTCTACTTTGCTGCCCTCACTTCTGGTCACCCTCCCCCCACTTCCTCTAGAACAAGCCACACTAGTTCAGTCCTCTAGCTTGTGCCCACACACATCCCTTCCCCGACGGTAGGTTGATTCCTGCTCATGCTCTCCAGACCCAGATCCACAGGATGATGACCCTGCCTTGGTGTAACCCCCACAAGAGAAGGAATCGCACGTGGCCTTGCATGGCCAACCCACCTGTGGACCAGTGGACCAACCCTGCTCCACCAGACTGCAAGTTCCTGGGGGATGCGCCTGGTTGTACAGCCCCAGCACCCAGCAGAGCAGCTCACACCAGGTGTGTGTTGAGCTCTGGACAAGCCAGCCACTCCCTGCCCTATCACTGCCTGCCCGTCTGGCCTCGCAAAGCACTCAGCCCAGTCTGCAGGGAGCCTCTTCTTGTTCACTTCCCATCTCCCATGCAAGAACGTGAAGTTCTCAGGCGCAGGTGCCTCTGCTTTGCTCACTGCTGAGCGCTGTGCCTAGCACAGACTCAAATATTTGCTAAATGAATGAATATCCAGTTAAGTAAACTGTGTTAGCTTCCTTACAGGTAAAATAGAAGAGAGCAAATATTTAATTGAGCACCTGTTTTGTGACAACATTGGAAGAAACACTTTTACTTCGTTAAACTGCCACCACAACTCTATGAATTAGAAATTTACCCAAAGAGCAAAATGAGGTATAGGGATGTTTGTCCAAGGTCACACAGTAGACTGTAAAAGCCCTGCTCTTCACATTTTCAGGGAAATCCATCCCTCTATCCATCAGCAGTAGAGCTTCTCCCCCACGCCAGCTGCAGCCTGACTTGCCCCCCCAACACACAGAACAGGAGAACAACTGAACTCAAGCCTTTTGAAAGTGCCTGCCTGCCAGTCGCTGCAACAGCACCTTGTTTGGCAGCCTGGATCCCAGAACGTGACTCAGTCCCCATGGGTGTGGAGGGCTGCCACTGGCACTTCAGTGTCATCTCCCCAGTCACTGGGCAGGGCCTGGGTGAAACAATCCCTCCTCTGGATCCTACAGCCTCCTGGGTGGCTGAAGAGGCCTTTGGGGTAGAAAGATGCTGTTTCTGAAGGTCTCACCCAGACCCCTGAAGGTCAAGCCACTTAATGGGGTAGGTGTGTGCACAGAAGTGCTGTTACAGGCCTTGGCCAGCCCTTCAGAAGGTGCCAGCGGCCTCCCTCACCTAGCCTGTTACATCATCAAACAAGACACCCACCTCACAGGGCTGCTGAGGGGAGTGAGCCTACCCTGGCAGGCTGAGTGGCAGTTCAGTGGAGACCAGCCTCTGCGAAGCTTCCCCCATGACTGCATCAGGCAGCATTGTCCTGCACCCCGCTCCACCAAGTAGGGTCGCCAACAGAGTCCATTGTGCCACCACTCTTCATGTGGCTCCAAAAAGGCCCTGCCCCTCCTGCAGTAGTGGGAAGGTAGTCCTGCCCAGAGGCTGGAGATGGACTCTCAGTGGAGGAGGAAGAGGCACTGCACTGCTGACAGGGTGGGCGTGGGTGCTCCACTTGAGCCAGCACAGGCGTGCAGCTGGACTGTCTGCCCTGGCCTGGGTGCAAGGTGGGGATGAACAGCCCCTGCAGACCCACTCTCCCAGGAGCTGTAACTGGGAGGGCGACCCTGCCCTGAGCTTTGGCTTCGGCAAGAACACCGAACTCCCAGCTTTTCTTTTAGTAATGATAATGCCTGCTAATGTTTATTGAGCCAAACACTAGGTTACGGGCCTTATTTAATCCCATGGGACCTAACGAGGCAGGAGCTATATCACCCCCATTTTACAGATGAGAAAATTGAGGCCCAAAGTCAGTAGCTTTTCTAAGGTCACACAGCTATTAACAAAACTATAAACTCTCTGAGGGCAATGCCTGCCTTCCCACAGCTCCATACCCAATGCCTGAGGCTGTGCTCGGCACACAGAATAGACCAAGTGTCAGACCTGGGATCAGAATCTACACAGTGGGGCTTGTACTTAATCATCCTACTTCATCCTGTCAACAATGTGGGCAGACAGCACTGTTTCAGCTTTTAACCACCAAGGAGACTGGGGCTCAGAGACGGGGGTGTTGAAGACCAAGTCATGCAGCTGGTTAATCAGGAGCCCAGATCAGAGCCTGCATCTCTGGTTTCCCGGTTCCGGACTTCTTCTGATGCAGTGGGTTCCTTTGTCTTATCCTTCAAGAATGGCATGACTCTGGATGTGCCTGTGAGAGTGGCCGAGGGCGGCAGCAGGTGGTGAGTACACTCCTGGCTGACACAGGCACAAAGCCTACCTCAGAGGCGTGAGTCACCTACAGAGACTCTCATGGAGGGTGCCCAGGCAGGGCTGGGGCCCAAGGAGGTGGGGTGCACCTCTGGCACCCAGATCCTTCTAGCAGAGGCTAAACATTCCAAACAAAACCCCGAGGTCCTGGGGAGTGGCACCCCTGGCCTCTGCATGTGGTAGGTCTGGGATAAGCCTGGCATTCCAGCTAAGCCTCACTGTGGGAGACCTCCAAATTGCAACCCACAAATGCTTGTGGCAAATTATAGTAGCCTGCTCCCCCAGGGGATGTGTGATGCCTGGGGAAGAGGCTGGTTCTGGCGCATAAGGAGGGACATGTGTGTGTGTGCTGGGGATAATGGACCCTGGAGACAACCCTGAAACCTCCGTGTCGGAGGGATGGGAGCTGACGTAAGCTCTTGGTCCCCTAAGGGATCAGGATGGAGGGACCCAATCGAGCAAAGGATGAGCATGAAAGGGGAAGGAATAGCCTATGATGAGACAGGAGCATGGGCTTGGGCAAGAGGCGGCCCTGGAATCAGGCCTGAGTTTTCTGGTTATTATTTGCTGTGACTTGGTATAAGATTTAATCTCTCCTGGCCTTGGTTTTCTCATCTATGAAAAAGGGACTTAGAATATTTGCCTCACAGAGTAGTTGTGGTTTTGAACAGGTAATGCACGTTGTGCTCAGCAACAGTTCCTATTACTTGCAGGGTGATCAGTAGATAGTACATAGCCGACTTATTCATGTATTATTTGTCTCGTCTCCACTAGACAATCAGCTCACCATCTACGGAGGCAGGGATGTTTGATGTTTGCCTGTCTGTTCACTGCTGTATCCAAAGTATCTAGAACAGAGCCTTGTACATGGTACGCCCTCTGTAAATACCAGCAGAATGAATGAATGAACGAACGAACAAACAGTGTAAGGGAGTGATGTCTCTGATACGTAAATGTCACCGTGGCACTCTCAGTGAGCACCTGTTCAGTGGCTTCCTCTCTCTCGCAGGGCTTCCATCAGGCCATGTGTGGTCTGGCCTCAGCCCCCTCTCTGGCCTCCACTTGAACCAAGCTCTCTGAGCAGCAGCCTCAGGGGCCCCAGTAGTTCCTCACCTGGACTATGCCACCTCCTCCCATCACACCCCCAACTGGGTTCCTATTTAACCTTCCAGTATCAGTGCAAATGTCACTTCCTTGGGCAAGTCCTTCAAGTGCTCGTTATTCACACAGAAATCAAGTTTCTTTTCTTCCAAGCACTAATCTCAGAGAGGAACTAACTAACTATACTAGTGTGATAACTGCTATCTTCCTCCTCTGCAAGACCCCCAACTTTTGTGCCTAGAGAGACAGTACTGGTTTGGGTCACCACTGAAGGCCTAGCACTAGCCCAGGGCCTGCCCACAGCTGCACTCTGTGAATGAATGAGCTACTACAGAGCTTGGCTGTGTGAACGGCAAGGGGCCTGCTGCCTGGCACTCCGCACATACCGCTGAGCACATCTGGGCTGATGTAGGCAGGGCTCCCCCTCTGGTCCTTCAGCAGGTCCCCTTCACTCACGAGATGCTTCCCAAGGCAGAAGTTGGTGATGGTTATCCGATGCGTCCTGGGAGCGGGAGGCAGAAAGTGAACACACCTCAGGATCTATACCTGCAGGTACCCCAGCTGCCCCCACTGCTCGTCCAGGGAGCAGAGGAGTCACACTCAGGTCCTTTTCTGCTCCCCTGGCGCCCCTGCCTTCCCCATGGTGGTGTGGGGAGTGCGAGTGGGGTGCTGGCACAGGCCAGTCACCCTTGGTTGCCACCTGATGAGCTGGCCCCAGGGATCTGAGTCACTCCAACCAGTGGGAGCTTTGGTGGGCTCCTCTGAACCTGCCGCCAGGCTGAGCCCCAGGGCTACCACTTGGGGCTTGGAACAAATTGAAGAGAGCTCCAAAACAACCTCACATAATGTCCAGATGGGGAGTGACTAGCAGGTCAGTCCAGTTCCCTCATCGGCACATGAGGAAAAGGAAGTCCAGCAGAGCTCTGAAGTCCACCCTGGGGTACCGCTTCTGCCCCCTTTGCTGATGCCTTCAGTCATCACCCCTGTCATTACCAATTGGCATCCCCAACAGTACTGACACCAGTGCTCCCCAAGCATTTGCAAGTGCAGACCCGGTCTCTGCGCCTGAGGGGGACTGCATTCAGCCCTCACAACAGTGTGAGGGAGAACTCACTGCCCCACTACCCAGCTGATGCAATTAAGGCACAGAGACATGATGGGACCTGCAGCTAGCGAGCGGTAGAGCAGGCTCCACACCAGGTCTCATCCCAAAACCCACATTGTGGACTGACACCAGTCAAGTGCACAGAGTGTCCCTGGACAGTGCCCAGTCCCAGACTTCCCCTTTAGTCCCATCAAAAATCTGCTCACCCACTGGCTTATACTTCAGACTCTGCACTGGCCTAGACAACCACAGATTCCCCCATCCAAGAGAGTCACGTTTGGGAGCGCCTCAGGGCTCTGACCCTTTTAGGAAGCTCACCATGTGAACAAAAAGAAGCCAACAGGGAGGATGCCTTCCTTACACCACACCTGGGAGGTAGGGGTCAGGGTGGGCAGGCCCCCTCCAAGGCTTCTTTGCCTCTAAGGGTGCCTCTCTAGCCAAAAGTGAGCAGGGGCCACGTGCCCAGCTCCCGGTCAGCTGGTTGAGCAGAGAGGCTGTACAGGATGGCAGGAGGGAAGCTCCACTAGGGGCCTTGGGTCTCCTCTCCCTAGACGAGTCTCAAGGGTGGAGAAGAGATCAGCTCAGGGGCAAAATGTGGGGCTGAGTGTGGAATTCCCCAGGAGCTGCATCCAAAAGGCTCCAAGAGCCCTTCAGCTATCTTGGGGAATTCTGCTGGCAAAGGGCTTGGTGCAAAACAAAGGCCAGTCTGTCCTCTGCATTCCTAATGGAAACATAGCCTCTCTCCATACAGGCCCATAAGATGCTGCAGAAATCGGACTGGTGGCCCCGAGGGCAGCCAGAGCCGGACGGTGCAGGCAAAGGGTCTCAGCCAAGGATCATATTAAAAAGTGGGCTGCTCTACTCTCTGAGCCTCCTGGGTCACTGCCCTGTATGTGGGGCTGCTCAGGCCTCTCATCTGCAAGGTCCGTCCATGAGCAGAAGCACTGCGTTCTCTCCCCTGCTCAGAGATGCCACTGCAGCTGGGCGTGTGTCTTGCAGGGGTTCTTTGAGTCATGAGACACTGGGAGGAGGACGACTCAGGGGAGAGTCTGGTGGGCTTGGAAGTCAGATTCCTGGGTTCCGGTCTCAGCTCTACCACCTCCTGGTCATGTGACATGTTAGTTAATCTCTTGCTAAACCTCAGTTTCCTCATCAGTAGAACAGGGAAATAGTAGCACCCCACTCCCAGACTGTACTAGGATTTAACAAGATAAGAAGATAATCCCAGGGAAAGCACTGAGCCCGGGCCTGGACAATAGTAATTGATTACTAACTGCCAGCTCTGATTATCATTTCCTCCCCAGATGGTAGGCGCACTGGCAGAGACTCCTAGTGGAAGCCCCTAGGAAACACACCATCTCTGCGTGGCGGGTGCAAAGCACCACACTGCGACAAGCCCCGGAGCGCACGTGCCAGTGTGGCTGAGCTTTCCCCGGGCTCTGCCAGCAGGACCCACCAGGCCTCTGTGCACGGAGCTCGAGGAAGACGCAGGCCTGGGACTGCAGGGCTGGATGGCAGGGCCAGGCTGGCCTGCACTGCTCTGCGCACTGAGGATCCTGAAGTCTCTCCCACAGGAAACCACATGGTCAGCTCTGAGGCCTCCTGAAGCTTGGCGACGCTCCCCTGCCCCCCGTCGCCCCACCCCTCCAACCACCACGGCCCTAGTCTGCTGGGTGGTGCATGGATCCCTGGTAGTCCCAGACCCCCCAGGCTGGTCCTGGCAGGAGGGAGCGAGAGCAGCAAGAGATGAAGGGAGGGAGCTCTGCGTCAGCAGGACCCACTCTGAGTGAGTCACTCTTTAACTATGGCCCTTTGGGCTACCACAGTGTTTTTCTCCTTTTCTAGGAACTTGGTGTGCAACTTGCCGACCCAAAAAGAAAGGAGGAAGGAGAAAGAACCCACAGTAAACCTCACATAACCCCAAAGGGGATTTCAGATTTCAACCCTTGCCTTTTACCCAAAGCAGGGTGAACTTGTCTTTGCAGCTGCCTAGAAAATACTTCTCCCTGTTTCCTTCCCTGAGGGAGTTCTGTGCTGTGCAGGATGCAGACTAAGGCCCCGGGCTTGTCTGCTGCCTCTCCAGCTGGAGTTAGGACCTGGCCTGATGGGCAGGGAGGGGCTGGGTCTCCTCTAGGTTGATCCTCGACTTCACAGGGATGAAGTGAGGCCTGAGAACGGAGGGCTGTGCCCACAGACAACACAGACCAGGCCTGGGTGTTCAGTGTGGGTCTCTGCACACCACTACCCTGCCCCGTTCCAGAGCACCCCTGGCTCAAGGGAGAGGCAGCGAAACCTGTCTGCCCTGAGACATCAGAAGGGGATTGTTATCAGACGGAAGGAAGTGTAGCCAAGATGCAGGGTCTGAGTGAGGTAGTGGTACTCCACAATCCGAGGAAAACACAGACACAGACACACACATACTCATAAACACAGACATCAGACACACACACACACGCATGCATGGAAGAGCTGCTACAGCTAAACTGGTGTTACTCAAGAGAGGTGTGACTTCCTGACTAGATTCCCAGAACCTGGGGGCCTGGAGAAGCGAGAGTGGGAGGCACACCTACAGTGGAGACAGAGACCTGGAGTGCTGCTGGGTTAGCTGTGCAGGAGCCCCAGTGGCACATTCTGTAACACCCCTGGGATGCTCATTCAGAGGCTGGAGGGGGCGTGGGCTCCACAGCTGGATGGACCGAGATGCTCAAGAACTATGCCCTCTCTTTGTGAACAGTGAGCCTGTGGTCCAGGGCAGGATGGTGGCCAGCCCAGCAGCCCACAGAAGGCCAGGGCCTGCACCTCTGGCTCTAAGGCAATATGTTCTCAGGGTTGGGATAGTCAGTTCTTCACAGCCTGCCTGCCTTGTGCAATTCAGAGCTGGGCTGGGGCATCGCTGAGCCTCACCACTGGTATCCTCTTCAGCCACTCGACACACAGCAAGCCCCATCTCCTGAAGGAAGCGAGCAAGCATACAGGCCCTCCGGCCCCTCGCTGGTATCGTGTGGGGGTGTGCCCATGATGGGCTGAATCCTATTAGGCAGTTTCAGGTCTGTGGCCAACCTCTACAGGGAGGTATAATCACATCCACTCTCACAAATGAGGGAACGGAAGCTCAGAGAAGTGCTTCGTACCACAGTAGCTTCTCAATATACAAATGGGTTAATCAGTGAATAAACAATCAAATAAACTCTCACAGTCTGAAGGGTAATTAAGAGGCAGTGCTGAGCTGTGAGCCAGGCTGACCCCCAAGTCCTACTCCTCCCCAGCTTCCCTGATTCTCTCACTCGGCCGGTCAGGGGATTGAGCAGCCCTGGGAGTCCCGTCTCCTTCCGTCCTCCCCGTGGAGCAGGACAGGGCCAGTGAAGGCTGTCCTCACTTCACTGGCTCAGGCTGGCCGTCTTTACTCACCCTTCACAGACTGACCGAGATGGCCAGGCTCTGGCCCCAGCCCTCTGCCCTCTTCTCCATGTAGCGATACCTACTCTCTGCTGGGCATCCCAGCAGGTTGTGAGCTCTGGGACAGGCTGCAGCACCAGGGCTGGGTGACGCTGGTGGAAGGGTGGGGACAGGCAGACCTGCTGAGGGCTGCAGCATCCTCCCAATGCATCTCAGGCTGGCCCTTCAGGGTCTAGCCCCACAGGACCCTCTCCCCACAGCTGGTGCCCCTTGCCTTGATTTGGGACATCTGAAGGGCCCCTCCTGGTCAAGCTTTCCAGGCTGAGGCCCTGTCAGACCGCAGCACAGTCCAGCTTCTCTCTCTGCCTAATGCTGCCCCTTTTCCCTGGAAGCACACCCAGGTAAGCCTCCTGCATGCATATCTCAGTCTGTTTCCTGGGAACCCAACTGCCTCACTTTGTTCTCTGTCATTCCTTCACCCAGCTATCCATTTTTTTATAGTCATTTGGTGAGCACCTACTAGGCACGACAAATGAACGGAACAGCGAGGAGCTCTGAAATCCTTCCCAGTACCTGGCCTGATGGGCAGGTCTGTGGCCTTTAATACCACAGCCCCTCTTGCCCTGGCCAACAGTAAGCACCATATTCCCCTGTGGCAAGAGACAGAAGAGAGCATCCCACCCTCCGTCCCTGGGATTCCTGGGAGAAGGAGACTGTTCTGAGTCAGAATCCCCAAGGGGACGCTGTAGGGAGCTGGGTAGTGCAGCATGTAGCCTGTCCCAACCCCAAGGTGACATCACGGAAAAAGGGAAGCGAATCTTACCTCTTATTGAGCACCATGTTCCCAAGCTTCAGGTCTCTGTGCACAATGTTTTTCTGGAAAACAATATGCACGCACACGGCTTATACCATGAAGGCGAGAGCTGGGGTTGGGCCCAGCCTGTAAGATGTGGGCTCTCCAGGGTTTGGGGAGGCAGGAAAAGCCCTGTGATGTAACTCTAACCTAGTGCCTTGATCTGTAAGATTGGACCCTTCTGAAGCCTTATTAACCATGCCCACAGAGAGGGTGGTGTGTGAGCTCAGGCAGTCTCTGCCTCACCCAGGGTGTTTCCCCAGCTCTCCCCTCAGGGCAGCAGCCAGTGGGGAAACCACTCCTCTCTGCACCTCCATCAAATGTCCCACTGGGAAAAAAAAAGCATCTGTCTGGATCTGGGGACACCCAAAACCCAGATGAGCTTGCATGGTTCCAGTGACCAAGTCTTACAGCTTGGCCCACAGAAGCTGTGTGCCTGGAAGGGGCCAGGCCACCCCAATCCTAGAAGCTCAGAGACAGGCTGTGGCTGCCCCCCATGCGTATCTCACAGTCTGCCCTGAGCTGGACACTACAGTGTAGCCTCTTGACAGATGGCTTACTGCTGCACGGGGCTCTGCTGGGCTGCCCAGGCCATGCCTCCCCAGGAATGCCTGCAGCCCAGTGGCCCAGCAGGAGTGGCACCTGGTCACTTCCCTGGACATTCCCAGCTGCAAAGCACACCTGGGTGAGGGAGGGACAGCTACATCTGCTGAGCAGCAACAAGAAGGGTGGCTTTCCACAGCTTTTGGGGCCCTGAGGCCTCTTGTCACTGGGGGCCCAGGATGCTCCTGGGGCAGAGAAGGAGAGCGCCACAGAGGGGCAGAGCCTCACCTGGTGCAGGGCTTCCACCACTCGCACCACGTCGTAGAAGATGACCACAGTCTCCCGCTCGCTGAGCCTCTTTTCCTTGATGACGTAGTGCTGCAGGTTGATCAGGTCGGCCGTCTTGTCACTGAAGTCGTGTGCACAGAGGCAGTCAAGGACAAGGCAGATGCGCTTCTTCATCTTCTTAACCATTCGGCTGGATTCTGTGTCCTCAACAATTTCACAGGTGCGGTCCTGGGAGGCAAGGGGCAGACCAGGGCTTGGCTGTGGGTCCACAGGGCCAGGGCCAGGGGTTTGGGACTCTCCTCTGGAGCTGGGCACACAAACCAGCTAGAGAGCCTGGAACAAGCCTGCATGTCTGTGGGCAGTGGAGGCCTGAGGCCAGGGCAGCATGGACCACGTGGCCACTCAGCAATGCCAGGCTTCCTGTGTGCCAGTGCCAGGCCCAGCCAGAGGCTGAGGTTAGAGAGGCTCAGATTTAGGCTTCATGCTTTGATCCTACTGCAAAGGGTTCGGATCTGAGCTGGGCATTTAAAGCCAAAGGGTCTCCTGAGCCCAGTATGTAGGCAGCAAACACAGGGCCTTGGGGCACCTTCCTCTGTAGCACTTGAGGGGATTCCAGCACTGACCCATGTAAACTTCTGGCCAGTGTCCAAGATGGTAGAAGTCAGGTTCAGTGTGTCCAAGACAGCTGCTCTCACATGGAAGCAGGACTCCCAGGCAGCCATGTTACATGACCCCTGGTACTGCCTGATGGCTGGGCTCAGGCCACAGCTCCATCTCATCCTAGCTGTGTGGCCTGGGACAGTTCACGTAACCTCTCCAAGTCCCTGGTTCCTCATCTGTTAAAGGGAACTAGCTCCCTATGTCACAGGTTGTCGAGAGAATGAGACCACCCATGCCAAGGGCTTAGCTCCCCCACAAGCCAGGGCTCAGTAAGTGGGTCCTGCTACCAATACTGCAGTTGCAAGCTCTGGACCCACTTTCCTTGCTGAAAAAGTATTTTAGGTAAGACAAAAAACAGGTACACAGGGACTTATATCCCAACAGCCTGAGGAGGCCTTCAGAGTGATCCCAGCAGACTGACAGTGGCTGCTGGGCAACTCCTGAGGACTGAAAACTCCTAAGAGCAGGCTCACACCTCTTACTCTCTTTTCCCCAGAGGCCCAGAACAGTGTCTGGTACACAGACAACTCTAGAAATACTTTGAACCACCAAGTTCTCTTAGCCAAAGTGATATAAACCAAGGCCAAGATATGGAAGCTGTCAGAGATGAAATACTAAGATATTACAATCACCCTCAGTTTGAGTTCAAGTTAAGGGAAGCTCTGATTTTCAGAGTTGCCTAATGATACTCTGAGCAGTCTCTAATCATGCATCTAAGAATAAAGACCTTGGTGGGGTGTATGTGTGGGGGTGGGAGTTTTCCACTGACTTATTTCAGGAAATCAAGCTGACAGAGTTTTTATTGCCTGAAATAACAACAAGGATGAGAGTGTGATGGGGGCAGCTCAGTGCTTTACGTGCTGTCATTCATCCCCCCAACCACCTTCTGAGGCAGGCACCCATTATTGCTGCCCCCCATTTTACAGATGAGGAGTCTGAAGCTTAGGAACCTGAGGTATCTTGCCCAAGGTCACACAGCCGGAATGCAGGGCTGCGGCTCTGAAAGCTGTGTGTTGCCCTGATACCACGCTGCCTCTCGAGTACCAGGTCCATCCTAGCAGGAGTGGGCCCTGGCCAGCGTATCTGCCAAGGGCTCTGCAGAAGCTCTGCTGGGAGACGGAGCAGGTGGCCCCCTGTATTCTGAATCTGGTTCTTCACTTCTGGAGACGGTTTCAGTTCTACCCTGAGGAGGGCTCTTTTAGTACCTTTCCTGAGGGACCTGGAATATCCAAGCATGGAGGCTCAGGGATACGTGCTGAACAAACTGAAATGCCTGGAAAGGCAAAAGGACTGTTGGTACAAAAACCAGCTGCGGCGATTGACAGGTGGCCCCAACTGCCTGTTCTGCCTCACTGCCCTCTCTTCAGCCCTGTTCTGGCCAATTCCTGACAACACAACTAGAAAGAGCCCTGTGTCTTTAAATGACTTCCTCCTTTCCTCTTTTCTCAGAAAAGAGGCTCTATTAGAAAGAACCGAGGGCATCCCCGAGGCTGTGATCACCACAGCAGGGGCCCTGCAGCAGCAAGCCGGCCCCAGCCTGACCTCCAGCCACCCTGCCCAGGAAGCCCGAACACCCAACGTGCAGGGACACTTGGGTGAGCTGCTCACAGTACAGAGGTGGCCCCAGCAAGCGCCAGCCCCAGGGCTGGGGGCTGGGGGCTGGGGACGGGGCCAGGCAGCACGCTCCGGCACTCACCTGGAAGAGCCCATGGTGGTGAACCACGCCGTCCTGCGTGTGGAGGAGGGAAAGCAGAGAGTACTCGGTGTGTAACAGCATCTTGCCTTGCCTCTCCTCTTGGCTTTCCATTCCTTGGTCCCCCCTCTCCTCAAGGGTAAGGATCTTTAGGAAGGCACATACACAAAAAAAACAAAAAACAAAAACCAAAAACACCTTATTTACAAAACGGTGATTAGAATAAGAAAAGTGGGATTCACATTCACCATGCAACACTTGCACACACATGCACACATGTACACACGAAGCAGAAAGTTTTTCTTAATGTGATGGCAATGTAATTTATGCACAGATAAAGCTCTTTAAATCAGCTGCGCAGAGCGAGACGGTGTGAACTTGATTGCTTCCTGGGAAAAAACGGCGCTACTCTTGTTCACAAGTGGTGTAGGTGCGAAGGTGGGAGGAGGGAAGAGCTTGGCTGGCAGGACGGCCCCTGGGTCCCCCACCTCCCCCACCCCTGGTGCCTCACTTACCTTCAGCTGATAGAAGTCATCTGTGCCGTCTTTCCTTGCCAAACACTGCACAATGCTTGGCACTGGTGAGTTGCCCAGACGGGGACCTATGGCACAGAGCCACCAGCTTACTCTTTAGAAGCCCTGTCCATCGTGGCATCATGTCACCACGTGGTCTTTTGGCTAGATCTCTTCAGGAAGGCACTATAGTTCATATCCACTGAACTCACCCCGCCCATAACCCCAAGTTTCCTGGTGGAGAGTTCTCACAGTCTCCCCTCCAAAATGGAGGAGTATCTGTGCATCTCCCTGAGGTACACCTGGCCGTTCCAGGCACATCTCTCAAGAAGAGGGGTTTTTCAACAGTGGGTGCATCCTGGAATCTCTGAGGTGCATGTTAGAAAAAGATATCCCAGCTGCAACCTGGGCCCTCTGAATCTGCAACTCCAGGTAAGGATCCAGGACACTACAGCTTTACCATATTCCCTGGTAGTCTGAGATAGCCACCTGGCTGCAATCCAAGTACCAGCTTTTGGAAACTTGTGTACTCCAGCTTGTCCTGTGACAGCACCCTGCCTGAGCTTTCAGAGTGTAAATCAGGTAAGTCACAGTGTCACTGCACTGCTATTAAGTGCAGTCCCTTAATAGCATTCCACTGCTCTTACTATGCAATCGAAACTCTTTTTTTGGCCCCCAAAGTCTTGCATGATTTGGTTCCTGTCCATCTTTCTGACTATGTGCCCTCTACCCCAACTGTACTCCACCTACACTGGGCTCTTAATTCCTAAGATGTTAAGCCCTTTCCTGCTTCTGGACCTCTGTGCTTGCTATTCCTTCTGCCTGAAATGCTTTTCTCCTGCTTTTCACATGACTGGCTCCTTCTCATACTCAGTGTCAGCTCAAATCACTTCCTCATACAGAACCTCCCTTGTCTACACTCTCTCTAGGCCCTTGTTAGCTCACATCATCTTGTTTACTTCCTTCCAGGCCCTCACCACTCCCAGTGATGATCCTGTGTGTTGTTTACTCTCTGTTCTTTTTCCAACTAGAATGTTAAGTTCGGTGAGGGCAGGGACTTGTCTGTCTTGTTCACTGCTGCACCCTGGCAAACACCCAGCTCACAGTAGCCGCTAAGAACTATCTGCTGAAAGACTGGGGCTAGAACTATCCTGTGCCCTTAAGTCCGGGATGCCATCCCAAATCAAGACTCACACTCAGTCTCTAGTTGCTAGGAGAACAGGCATCCTCAGGGCCCACTCCCTGCCACCCTGAGCACAAGGAATTTGGATTTGCTGGGCCTCCAACATCACGCCGAAAGGCCCTGCTGCTCCTCTGGACTGCTGGGAACCCCTAGTTCTGCAGGATTTCTGTGCCAACTTCACAGGAAGTTTGGGGGGGCTACACCAAATGCTTTGTGAAATTAACTGTGCCTTCCAAGAATGGTCAAAGAAGTGCCTTGGATTATGGACCTCAGGTTCTAGAGCTGCTTGTGTGCTTTCTGTGGCTGACATCCTGGGGGGCACACAGGAGTCGCTCAGGGAAGACACAGCCTGGCTCTCAGCTGAGACTGATCCAGGCCTGGTGCACACAGCAAAAATGACAGCTCTTGGTATGGAGTGGCCTAAGGCTCTGGATCTTCCACTAGCTCACACAGGCTCCAGCTAAAGTGATGAAACTAGGGCCAGGCCAAGGGTGGGTCAGGCCCCCCCCACCATGGTGGGTGTGGCATTTCACTCTGCAGAGCAGCAGGTCCGCTGTGCACGCCAGTGCGCCCTGCCCTGGCCTGACACCTCAACTTGCCTGGCGGTCAGAGGCTTACCCAGGATGAACGGTCCAGCTCTTTTTGCATTATTTCCGGAAATCCCACTTCCTAGAGCCTTTGCCCTGGCCGATGTTTCTCCAGCTCCTCTGTCTGATGCTCTCCGCTTCATTCTCAGCTCTAGACAAGACAGAAAAGAGTGTTTCTCACCCAGCAAGTCAGCAAGTTTCCTTATGCTAACCCAGCCTGCAAGTCTCTGACTTGGGGATGCATCACACAGCTGTAGCTGCTGGTCCTGCTGCCTCCTCCCCTCCCAGAGGAGCTTCAAAGGTTCCCATTGACAAAGAACTGTGGCTCCTTTACTTGGGACTAATTAGGGGCTTGAGGCGGAGGTACTTCAAGGCAGCAGGTATTGGCTGTAGATGTGGGCAGCCAGCCCACCTCAAAGGGGCCAAATGCAGAGAAGAGGACTGGGCTTCGTGCAGATGCAAACAGGGGTCTGTCTTGTTCACTACCCACCACAGAGACAGAGGATGCCAGCCCTGGAGTGATTGTTCTCAAAGCGAGGCCAAGTGGACCTGTGGAAACCCTACTGATCTGATCTTGGGCATGGTGGGGAGTGGGGCTCAGGAAATGGCACCATGAGGCCTGGGGATTCTTATGCTCACAAAGTGTGAGGATGACTGCCCTCAGAACTCTCTCAAGCTGTCCTTGACTCTTAGGTCAAGAATACCCCAAAGTCGTCAATGAGGGGTTTACTTTCTCTTTTCTTTTTCCTATTTTCAAATATTTCTTTAATTACTTTTAAGGAAAATATATTGTGCATTCAAGAACCAGTTAAGGATACCAATGGAGCTCGCTAAGCATTTGTTTTGCCTGGTAATCCTCATCTCCAGGGTTAAAATGAAAGGAGGACAGAGGAGCCAGATTCTAGAAGACATTAATCTCTAGACGTGGATTTTAAAAAAAAGATTTACTCCTTCCAGCTTTCACAGCTAACACCTTGGGAACGCAGTGTCCTGGAGGTGGAGCAGGAAACGTGTACACAGATGACTTCCACATGGGGAGCGCAGAGGGTCCTGGGGGTGCCCAGGGAAGCCTTCCCCGAGGAGACGCTACTAGAGTGGACTGGGCAAAGGGCAAGGTCATTCCAGGCAGAGGACCTGGGTGAGCAAATGAACACAGGTAAGAAGCGGCAGGTAAGCAACCCAAGCCTGAGTAGTTTCTGTTGCTGGAGTGTATAACATGAAGCAGGGAGTGGGGAGAGGTAACCCAGAGAGTGGGGGAAAGGGCCAGATCTAGGGGAACTGATGGCCATATTAGTTGTGTAGCTTTACCCTTCCCCAAAAGGCTTGGGAACACTGAACCTTGAAGTACCATGGCTTTTTTTCATACAAAACTAATTTGCATTTCCTACAAAAACATTAAAAATACAGATATGCAAAAATGAGTAAGGTTCTTATAATCTCACCACCCAGACATAATTACTATTGACATTCAAGCTGACTTTCCTGAGTCTGTGTTTGTATGTGTGTGTGCTTAACAGTTTTCATTATTACAAAAATTTGGACCACACCAATACCATTTTGTAAGTTTCCTTTTCTCTCACCTAAAATACATTATGAGAGTGAATTTTATGGTATGTAAAATATAACTCAGTAAAACCATAAACAAAACAAAACAAAACAAAAACACTGTTAACATCCCTGTATGACAATATCCCTTTGCGGCAACACTTGAAATAGCTCTACAGTCTTCCTGGTAAGAATATATTGTGATTTATCAGACCACACCCCTATTCATGACATGTAGATTCTTTCCATTTTTTATATATTTTACTAACAGTTACACACGTACATCTTGGCACACTTGTCTCTCACCCTCAGGATAAATTCGAAGAAGTGGAACTGCAGGGTTGAATAGGTACAGGTTTTTAAAGGTGCTTGACATACACTGCCAGGCTGATCCCAGGGAGGCTGTGCCAATTCAGGCTCTAACAGCAGCCGTCCCAGAACCTGCACCAGAACTAAATATTTCCTTATTTTCTGAAAACTGCCAAATTGATGGGTAATAAAAAGCATATCATTGTTTAGATTCACAACTCTTTGATTATTCACGAGGTTGAACTTGTTTCACATACTAATTGTTTGTATGAATGATTTCTTTTATGAATTTCCAGTTCATATTATTTTTCCATTTTTTATTGCCTTGTGTATCTTATTGATTTTAGGAATTCTTTATACAATAAGGCTCTAACTAACATAGGATGTAGTTTTCTTAACCTTTTAACTTTTTTAATTAAAAAAATGTTAAATGTTTATGTAGTCAAATAGTTCTCTTTTCCTTTAGTTTGTTTTTGTTGTTCTATTTGGAAGGCTGCCCCTACTCTGAGAATAAGTGCATACTCACTAGTTAGCTTCAGTCTTTACATGCTGCCATTTTGGCCCTTATTCTGAACCCCAGGAGACCGACTCCATGCAGTGAACTGGAAAGTAGGAGAGGCAACCCAACTCACTTCCAGTCCAGTCTACCAGACTTGCTTCCCCTCTTCCCCAATTTGTTTTCAGAGTTGTGCCACTGAGGAACAGACCCACGATTTCATGCTGAGAATAACTAGAACCATATAATTCAGTAGGCCCACACAGTCCCCAGTGGGGCAGAAGCCATGGTTAGGCTTGGCCATGACTTTGCCAAAGAAGCTCATGCTGGAAGCAGATTCAAAGTCATCCACAAAAAAGCAAGAACGAAATTGCTTCCAGAAAAATCTTGAAAAGCTGGGCAGTACTGTATCAGCAACAGTGTTTCCACTCTTTGCCTGGCTAACTTCTACACATTTTTCTCTCAATTTAAATATCACTTCCTCAGAGAAGTCTTCCTCGATATTGCCACTACCAATGGGTCCCAGTTAGTCTCACTCAGGATCCTATCATTTTTATTCATGCCACTTTCCATATTTTGTGATCATGTTTGTGATTGTGTGTTTATATGGTTAATGTCTTTCCACCACCACTAGACTAAAAATTCACAAGGGAAAAAAAAAAACCCATTGCATCCCCGCTGCCTCCTGGCCCAGCAGACACTCCAGCTGGTGGTGGCTCTGAGTGGGTCAGCAGCCCGGTGCTGGAGCTGCCCCTGCCCTGCTAGATGAGCTGGTTTCACTACCATTCTGGCCATGTTCTCCCTCTTGCCTGGAGCACTAAGCTGCCTCTCTCTCTTTCCGGTTCCCAGGAGAGTACCACGGAGGCTCCAGCCTATCTGTGTAGCCCCTGCCTAGGTGCCTACGCACAGGCGCAGTCTAGACGACAGTTTGCCGCGGGCAGCTGCAGCACAGGCTATGAGTGGGCGCAACCTGACCCCACCCCTTCCGCGCAGATCCACTCACGCACATGGCATGGGAACAGCTCCAAAATGTGGGCTGGCAGAAGGACGGGAGCAGACGGGCAGGGAGAGGGAAAGGATGCTGGCAGAGGAAGTGGCAGCAAGGCTGCTTCCCTCCCTGAACATCCCCTCATGCCACCGGGAGCTGGGGAAGCAACGGAAGCATTGTGAAGAGGCAGGCGCGGAAAATCAGAAGCTGCTGCAGGCTCCCTAGTGGGTGACTACAGACAAACCCCCCAGGGAAAGGCCCTTCTGTTCCTGGCTCCCCAGCTGATGCACAGGGAGGATATGCCCCGCCCTCACATCATCTTGATGTGGCCCCTCCAGAGACACACCTGCAAATGCTCTGCAGATGTTCCCACGTGGGATGTTGCTTTGAGGGACCCCAACTTCACAGTGAGATCTGTGATGCAGAAGCTCTGGCAACCCTGGACTCAGAAGGATTTGTGGCCAGACCCCTATGTCCTCAGGCTGGGGTGAAGGGCCCTGGCTAAGAGGCAGCCATTTGCTTGGTGTCTCCTGGGCCCACTGCTCAGCTCCCCAGGAGCTCAGCAGTCCTGGCTTAGAAGTCTCTGGAGCTTTACGTCTGTTAACTATTCTGTGCGCTAACCTCCCAAGGAGCACCAGTTCCCTTAGAACCTGGACTCAAGATGGAGCTCAGTGAGGCACCAATGGGGGTAAGGGGTGGAGGTCAGGAGGGGGGCACTGAACGAGAACCCAGCCTGGCATCCCCACTGCCTGCAGGGTGTGCTCCTCAATCCTGAACGCAGGGGATTCTGTGTACCTGGCTCAGCCTGGGGAAAGAGTTGTGGGCCTCAGCATGAGAGGGCCTCAGCTCTGTGACAGGCACCACAGCATGCTCAGAGAAGGGGATGCCTGCCCTACCCTGTCAATTTGGGTTTAAGTTCATCCTACTCCAGGGCTTCTGGGTGATGTGAATGCAACTTTCCCAGACAGTAATTGTGGATAAAATGAAGGTGCCTGTGGCCAGGATTCTCACCTGGCCCTGGTTGGCTAGCTCACTATACACGTGTGGGCAATGTGTCGTTACTGACTATATACAAAGAGCCCTGCCCAGTCCTCTAGGCGACATGTTGGCATGGCTTCAAGGCTGCAGGAGAGCAGAGCAGAGGCTGGAGTGGTGGCAGCGCCGAGGACAAAGGCCCAAAGGATGGCTGTGCAGGCAGAGAGGCCCAGAGGATGGCTGTGCAGGCAGAGAAGCCCAGAGAGGCAGAGACCGGCCTGCTCCATGAAGACTTGCTCTGAGTGGATGGGATTCTAGTGACTGATCTGCCACTCTAGTGATTGAAAGTTAGGTATAACCCTTTCACCCCAAGAATGTTTTACTGTCATTTCTTTGGTCACTTTGAATCCATAGTGAACTTGCCCAGGGCTAAAACCCATTGGCAAGATAGCAATGAATGACAAATAAAGTTCTAAGTCCATGATGCTGAGTCCAGGGGTGTAGTATGACAGGGTACATGACAATTGGGTGAGGTAGAGCCAGGCAGGGCATGTTTCAACACCACCAATCCCAAAAGGAGGTGGGCTGCAAAGAGAGGTGGTACTGAGACCTCTCCAGCTCAGTTTTTCCTCAGCTCCACCCATCCACAAAGCAGGGAAAGCCTGGCCAAGGCAAGGAGGGGCCCAACACTCATACCAGGAGGCATCCCCGCAGGCCTCCACACAGGTGCACAGATGCACGGCCCCAGGCAGAGGACACATGTGTGCACAGAGAGCCAGAGTGAGTCCCCATCCCCCACAAACATGAGGGATAGCGACAGGCCTGCTCACATGTGCAGGAAGTTCTGCACTCAACTTTGTCCTAGGCTTCTTGTTGCAATTTCTGGGTTCCTGGAGAGATGGGTGACCCTGAAAGCCTAACCAGTGAAGGCAGAATGAAAGGGCAGTCACCTCAAGAAGCAAACAGTGGACCCTGGCCCAGTACACTACTTACTGTGTATGCATGTGTGACAACAACAGCTGGTGGCCAACACTTGTCAGTAGCTTCTAATGCCTGGTAGGAGCCAAGGGACTGTATCTACCCTGCAGGGTAGGGCTTAGCTGATGGTGTCAAGATTCAGGCTGCCTCTGTGAGCAGCCCCTATCCCCACAAACCCTGCCGTGCACCCTCCCTGCCACCCTCGCCAGGTTTCTTGGCTCTGTCAAACAGAACAAGCCAAACAGAATGAAAGTTCCTGAGCTACGCAGGCCTCTGTCTTCTGGACTTTACTTTTGGCAGTGTCTACTGAAGGCAGGGACCCTGCAACTCTGTCCAGCCTACCTGGCATCTGAAAGTGAGGGCAGAGTTCCTACCCATTCCTGGCCTCAGTACTGTCTGCCACGCATGTGTTAAGGGCCTGTGTGTCAAGATCTGTACAAGACCCCAGAAGGGAGGGGAAGAGTCTCTGCCCTAGAATACTAAGGCAACAGAACGACACGGTTAGCAAGTGATTCTGCACTCAGAGATGAAAGCTGTCCTGTGCCAGGCCCAGTCACCCTTACCATCTTGACTTACCATCTTGACCTACATAACCCACAGTGGCTGGGAATCTCTGAGTCAGAACTAGGGTTTTGGAGTAAGCCAAACTTGGTTCAAACTCCAGCACCATCACTTAATAATGATGAGATTTGGGGCAAGTTACTTATTCGTTCTTCTGTATCTACAAAATTCTGAGTTCAACACCTACCTTACAAGATTGGTCTAAGGATTAAGTGGAATAACCCACTCAAGAGGTTTGGCAGAGTACCTAGTAGCATACTGAAAGCATTCGATAAACTGTGC